GGTGGAGAGGTGTTACTGCGCCACGCTCAGGCAGGTGTGCTCTCCTGCTGTCCTCGGTTGGAGTTCTTTTCCTCGATTGTCCCGAATATTTTCCTTAGCTCGCTTGATGAGGTTTGAATTATGTCGAATTTTGCCCTGTTTTTAATGTACATTTTGTACAGCCCCGTGCAATTTTTTAAAGGAAATTTCACCAAAGTTCATCAAAAGCTTGATGAATATTAATCATACCCCAACCAAATATTCCCATTTTCCATGGAATAGGTAACGTCATTCATTTATAGACGGGTTTTGTTGGGTTTTGTGTGTGTGTGTGAGCAGCGTTCATTCAGTCCGCCCTAAATTGGCTTTCGTTTTTGACTTGTGGGGAAACTGGAACATGAAACTGAAATGTGAATCAAATTCTCTGAAAAAGTAGTTGGATGTTCAGATAAATGTAAAAATAGATTGTTAATTCTGTGAATAGTGTACGTCCAGTATATTTCATGACAACAAGTATTTTTCTAGACTTTTTGATGATTTTTAATGGGACCCTTCTTGTTCAAAGTACTTGTTCAGTTTCAACACAACCTTCATTTGAAACGGGGTTTGTCTTAAAATCAGTTCCCATTGGCACAGTTTTCAACTTGAAATATTTACACGATCAAGTTCTGGCGCAATAAAAAGCTGAAAAATGTTATCAACAAACCTGCCCACAGAAATGCCTGGAATTTTGAATTATGCCCATCTTTCTCTCATGCACATAAAAAAAGAGCAAATTGTAAACATCAAACCACATAAATCAGACCGTCTGGACTGAAAGTGTGCCACATTCTTCCGAGTTAAACTAATTCTTGCGTTCCGGCTAACCTCCATGTTATAAACCAGTGCTTTTTTCCTTGATTTCCGTAAAGTTTTTTTCTGGAGCTGTTTCATTTTTGTGTGTGGTGTCTACATTGCCAATCCCCATCAATTTACAGCTCAGAGTTTGATTTCAAAGGGAACCAGCCAGGCCCCGAATTTGACCCCGGGGTAAGGGTCTGTTCTTTCATAACAGCCAGGATTTAGTGTAACTCAAGACTGCCATATCTATGGGGCCACTGGATAGGTGGTCAGGTCCCCCTATGCACTGGCTAAGGGACTATTTGGAGAAAATAATTGAAAGGTTCAAATATATTAGCACTTTTTGAAGTTGTTTAACTAGGTGGCATTTTTTGGGACATTTTGTAAGGGTCAGAAAATTCATAATAGATGTAAATTTCAGTGTTTATTAACCCATTAGCACTTGTACTACATTGTATTACCATGGAGGAATCACTGAAGAATCAATAAAACCATAGAGTGTTTAGGTGGTTTGCTAACAATCGTAGTAAAGTGTCTTGCCTAAGAACAGTGAGTAAAGGGTTAATGCTTCTTGCAGTGCCAGATAAGATACTGTGCCTAAAAATAGTAACATCATCACACATTATTCGTACATAACCCCCCCCCCACAAAAAAAAAAGTAGTTGAAAATCAGGCTCATAAATCGTGCATTTATTGCTTTGATTTTGGCATCTAGCTCATGATGTACAATTGTAAAATTGTAATATGAATCACCAAGGAAAAGTTATCTAAAGGTTGGAGTGCAGAGACAACTAGTGAACACCGTGATTTTTTTGTGGTGTAGTTTGGGTTTAACTGGGACGCTGCAAAACATCTGTACCAAGAAAGTGGACTGAGTCTTAGCAGACAGAGACAACCAAGCCCCAGACAGAAGGCCCGACAATAACAGCCAAAAGTCCAGTGTGGACAATTCATTGTTAAGCTATCAATTTTGCCTCAGTTGTTTACCATTTTTCATCTGTGGCCGGTCATTTATCATGTGCGTGTATGCTGTGTTAATAATACATACTTCACAATGTCCATTGTTTATATATGATTGTAGTTGTGCGATCCCCCCCCCCCCCAAAAAAAAAAAACACCCAAGAAATTCAGTTCTGCAACTGATATTTATTTTCGCACTCTGAATGTAACTCGCTTTTCTCTGTGTTTGTTCATTCAACCCTGAGTGTATTATGCAAGCCCTCACGCATGCATGCCTGATAAACCTCATACAGGAACTACATTTCTATTTCCTACCCCCCCCCCCCCTTTTCTAAAGTAAAAAAAGTTTATCCATAGGTTTACATGGGCTCAGTGTCAGGGAGTAAACAAGCTCATTTAGTATGCGCACCTGTCCCTTCAGCTCGCGACCCCTTTCCATTCATTGGCCGGCCCAGCTTCATGCATTATTCAGTAGGCAGTGGAGGGGGATGGTGCCCTGCATGTGTTGTATGTTGGTGAGCGGATTAGGGTCCATGGTTCAGGGTTTTTGTTTGCCTGTTGTGTACCTGTTTATAGCTCCATGGTAGGACCATAGGATGGTTTGGATGGACCACCACTGCTGATTGTGTGTTTGACAGTTGTAAAACAAGAGTGATTCCACCTGTAAAGGCACTGTCCATGTAACTGGGCTAACAGTGAATACAGTACATGATATAGTTGGGGATGAATGAATCCACTAATCTAAACTATGCTAACACCTAAACTTTGATTTGTGTTTTCAAAATACTTGTACATGGTCATTGTATAGATAGGCATACTTGTTGGTTTGAACCCTGTTTAGTACTAATTCATAGGCCAAGAACCAGTATTATTTAAGGAGAAGCTAAAAAAAGTGAATAAATTAGGAAGTAGAAAGTTCAAGCATAGAGCAAGGAAGCATCAAACTTGATGATTACTTTCTTTTTTAAAGTTAATTCATATGTTTGTATTTTACTGAAATTATTATCAGACATGTAGTTGAATTAGTGGTAGTAGATCCTTAACCTGGAATCCAGTCATCTGGCCACTTTAAGAATACAGTTTCTTGTTAAACCCTATGCTTTACCGAGCTCGTTAGCAAATCTAATTTTCTACTGTGAACGGAATTTATTCTGAATGAAAAGCCCGATGAAGATTAATTAGATGCCTCTTGGTAATTTTTTATTATTTGTTGCCACATAATGAACATGGTGGAGCGAACCCTGATGGCGAACATGGTGCTTGTGTGCTAGGGCAAGACACTTTACTACAATTGCCTCTCTCCACCCAGGAGTATAAATGGGTACCTGTGAGGGTAGAGACCAGAATGTGCTGATCTCGAGCTGCTGCAAAAAATGGACTCGTAGCCTGATGAGCAGGGGTAATAATTGCGCAGTGCTTTGAGGCCCTTTCCTGTGGTATAAAGCTCTATATAAGCACCCGCATTATTATAATAATACAGACACACACATTTTGCAGGGTTACATCCTGGTAACGATGCCATCATTTGATAATAATGACTAATGAGGAACCAGCTTTATAAATCATCTGACCTAATTTGAAAAACTCTCTTAAAATATGACAGATTGCCAACCAGTAATTCCTCCTGTTGAGCTTTTTTTCCCCCCGAGGCCCAATGCGTGGGAATAATTGAATCCTCACCCTCCCATGTATGAATTCTAATTCCTCTGTCTCGCCAGGCAACAATACACCCTCATTATCCCGGACGAAACCCTACAAGTCCTGAGCTTGTTGAACCGGCGAATACCGCGATAATAAGCCTCAACGAAAAAAGAAAGAAAAGAAGCTGGCCACAATGAAGAGATTAGGAATAACCCTTCTGTCTGCGGTGTATTAAAAACCCCAGGCACTCTTTACCATGGGACGTTGAGCTAGATTCGCGTGGGTCTTACGGCGAGATCTCTCTGCTTTGTGGTGCGGATTTGCTTTGGAGTGTTTCATGGCTGTTAGCTCTTAATATCATGGGTTCTTTATTTTTTGGGTTCCCAACTGTTGGATCCTGTTAAAGAAATACCCCTGATGGGTTGTTGGTTGTCTGCTTTGTCTGCACCTACGCTTTGTTATTTTACGTAAGATTAAGCACTAGTCCGGGTTGAGATATTTGACCTTCTGTTTCACAGTGTGAAATATTTGCGGTGTTATTCATTCGGTTCATTCGGTTCACGATGATAATTTTGTTTTGCTCTTGCAAACCATCAATCACTTGACAATGTTGAATAATCTCAATATTACTCATCCTATTAGGTTACAATGATGATTTAACAAAGCGAGTTGTCTGTGCAGACAGATGAAGGACTGTGTGAGAATAACAGTTGAAAAGTGTTGGGTCCTTTTGACACTTTCAGTTTTGTTCCTTTGCTTTTCCCTAATGTGTTCGTTCCCCAAACAAGCCACAGTTACCTGACAATTTTTGGTTGTACAAATAAAGTGGAAGTTGTCCAATTTCTACAATGTCCGTCACATGATCACAACTCAGCTTGTAAATTGAGTTCATCACATTTTTTTTGGTGGGGGGGGGGATCTGTGCAAGGGTTTGTTCCTAGGAAGAGGGGAACAGTAAATAAGTGGGGAATTTGAGGGAAAACTTGGAAATGGTTGTGTGAAAAAAAAATCAAAGATGAAATTTCTTTTCTGAAGTGATATCGAAGATTCTTTGTCAAAAACTGCCCAGTGCCTCAACTGAATTAAACTGTTGAAACACTGATTAAAGGAAATTGCATTCCAAGTCAAACTACAGATGGGGACAGTAGAATTATTATTGGGCACATCCCCAATCAATTCAGATGCTTGAGGGTGATGGCTGTCCCTGTATACATGGTGTCCAGTTAAAATACCTAGTCAGCTCCCCAAGTTCCTTATAGTTGTGGCACATGTCTTGATGGTATGGGCTCCTTGCACAAGTACCCCCTCAACGGTAAGGAGAGGGAGAGTTTGGAGAGACCACAGGGAGAGACATTCGATGCCGGCGACGCCTGTATTCTCACACGAAGACACTACGTGGCTTTGTGCACATCGGTCGTGCGTACTCTGTGCTATACTCACGTGAACAAGTATGTTTGCGCTCTCCAAAGTGGGAAAAAAGTGCCCTGTTGTTGCCGCTCAGATCCCGTACAACCTCCACCAAAAAGGACCGAATACTGAGAAATCCTCAGGTCTGACCAATGTTTACTTTTTATTCCTAGATGTCCCGACACTCACTTCGGCGCTAGCTGCGAGTATGACAACCCTTGCCGCCACAATCGTTGCCTGAACGGAGGCACCTGCCAAATAGTGGAGCCTACAGATGGCGATTCCCAGCCCACTTTCTCCTGCCTGTGCGACGTGGGCTGGACCAACTCCCTGTGTGAGCTGGAGTTGCCCAACGTCTGCAGGGACGAGCAGCCCTGCCAGAACGGCGGCCGCTGCAACCTGCGGGGCTCGGTGGACGACTACACCTGCGCATGCAGTGAGGGCTTTACAGGTGTGTGTTTTAAGTTCTCCCTGCAATGCCTAAATATCTCAGGCTGTGTTCGCAAAACGGTATTTTGTGGCTCTGGCCATGGTTTTTCATAGCCGTGACCGTAACTATAACCATGTGCCTGTAGTGAGGGCTTTACAGGAGGGTTCTTAAGCAGGCCCCACACTGTCCAGACATCTCAGGCTGTGCCTAGATATGGCTACGTTTATGCCATTTGTGCACTATGGTGAATGGCTGTAGCCGTTGAAAACAATTCCCACTTAAGCCACAGCCTCACTCAGATACAGAGTCAGTGAACAGCCAGCACCTTTGATCTGCTATCAACTGAATTCAGTGTTATATTTTCACATGTACAGTACAAATTCAATGCCACTCCCCAGCCTGCCTTTGTGGCGTAGGTGAAATCAAGTCCTCCCCTGTGATTAACACTGTTAAAATCTTTTGATGGTGTTAAGGCGAAATGAAACACTGTTTTCAACGTTTCTTCCCGCTTGTAGGAAGAAACTGTACCATGACTGACCACTGCGTGGGGAACCCTTGCAAGAACGGGGCCACCTGCAACTCACACGCCACAGGCTACAACTGCAGCTGCACCATCTACTACCGGGGCACGCACTGCGACATCGACATCAACGAGTGCACGGCCGAGGTGACGGCCTGCCACAACGGCGGCACCTGCGGGAATCTAGTTGGCTCTTTCATCTGTACCTGCTCGCAGGGCTACACGGGTCGGCGCTGCGAGTCCATCTATACCCCATGCCGGCCCAACCCCTGCCGGAACGGGGGCGAGTGCAACCCATTGGGCATGTACTCCCATGAGTGCATCTGTCCTGCAGGTAAGTTTATAATCTTCTATACTGTGCATGTGTGTAGTGAAAGTACATGTAAAATGGAGAAGAGTGATCCTTGAATTCCGTTGCCGCTGTATGCAGAACACTCCGAACAATACTTGAAACGACAGAAACATGACATTGCGTGAAAAAAAGAGATGTAATACCGTTGTGTATATTTTAGTTGTTTATTTATTTTCGGTATACATTTTGAACAGGTATTTTTCCATTTCCTTGCCATTAAAGATGATTTGAGTTGAGATCATTTTAGTTAGTCAGACCGTCTTCACATTTTTGGATAATCCTGATTTGGTTGTGCTTTGCTTTTGGAAGGTTACACTGGGACTCAGTGCGAAACCAACATTGACGATTGCATCATGCATCAGTGCACGAATGGCGGATTATGCATCGATGGTATTGACTCCTACACCTGCAGTTGCGCCCCGGAATACACAGGTAAGCCCTGCCCCCCACCAACCAACCCCTTGATCTACAAGCTTTTAAATCCCTGAAGAACACGATCAGTGAGAAGACAACAATAACTTGAGCCTCTGGTTATAACTTAAGCTTCCTCTCAATAGTTTGTAGTTAACCTGTTGACACCGGAGGACATGTAAACGCATTTGCAAGGGCGGGTGACGGATTAAATCGTCAAGCTTTCCCCTCGTCTCTGGTGGTAGACGTGTATACATGTCAGTGGTTTTTGTACCCACCTTGTGTTGAACTTGGTCTCGGCTGCTTTACATGGCCTGTCATGGTTACAAATATCGCTCCGTGGCAGGGCCTTGGAATGTTGCAAAACATGCAGTTTGGGTGAGAAGTATGGTACAAATATTGAACAAATGACTCTCCAGAGTCAGTATCTGTGGTGTTTGGCTTCATTTTAAACTTGGCCCGACATAGTTTGAAAAATGGTGTTTTTCGGCCAAAAGTAATCCCGCCCTGTTTACATGTACCGTACGTCTACTCAGTCTAGATTGACCCCACCTGGTCCGATTTGGTTGTTTCTTCTCCCACACAGGCGAGCTTTGCACAGACGACGTGGACGAGTGCACGCTGCAGCCAAACCTGTGCAGGAATGGCGCCACCTGCCGCAACAACGCCCCAGGCTACCGGTGCACGTGCGTCTACGGCTTTGAGGGGGATCACTGCGAGCACGATGTGGACGCCTGTGAAACGAATCTTTGCGAAAATGGCGCCACATGTGAGGATGCCGTGGCCAGCTTCAGGTGCATCTGTGCTGCTGGCTACACTGGTAAGACCACTGGAGTTCTCTCTTCGTCAAAAAAAAAAACAGATCAGGAAAACATTCTGTCATTTTAGCAGCATTGTAAAGAGAAGTGGGAGGGGAGCATGAGCTTCTTCTTTTCAGAAGCGATCAGCAAAATGTGGTTATAAAAGTTATTTTAAATGTATACAGTATACAACTTACGTAAGGCTTTGTTGATGAAGTTTTAAAAGCTTTGGTGAAAGAGTTTTCATGAGGTTCATATTGCTATCTAAACCTAGTCATTTGAAACCTTAGACAGCATGCCTCCAAAAATGTGGCTTAACATCTTTTTTTATAGAACTAAGAAAGGTTTCTGGTAAAAGTGCATTGGTCATTAGGGTTAAAGAAGTTCTGATTGTAACCCTTCAGGATTGTATTGTCATCTTGAGGATGCCTGCATCAGCAGCCCCTGTGCTGCCTCATCCACCTGTGACACCAACCCTGGCACCGGTGACGCTGTCTGTCACTGTCCCGGCGGTCTTACAGGGAGCGACTGCTCAATTGATATCGACGAGTGCGAGTATGGTGAGTCAATATAGTTGTGTTTGTAACACTTCGCAGGTGGCCTATTGGAACTAGGTGAAACCTCACATTGGCTTTCCAAAGTAGAACCTCACAGCGATTACATGGAAACCTCGCACTGAACTAAGCTTCATAGTGACTATTTGGAATCATCACCGTTATCTCATTGAGGAACCTCACAGATGACATTTATATAACGGTAACCCGAGCTCACATCTGACCACATTGGAATCTTGAAGTGAACATTTGGGAACCACACACAGTGAACATTTAGGAACCTCAGGGTGACCATTTAGGAACCTCAGGGTGACCATTTAGGAACCACATTGACCATTAAGGAACCTCATAGTGACCATTTGGGAACCCCACATTGACCATTAAGGAACCTCACAGTAACCATTTGGTAACCTCGCAGTGACTAATTGGAAACCCAACAGTGACCATTTTGGTACCCCACAGTGACCATTTTTGAACCTCACAGTGACCATTTTGTGAGCCTAAAAGTAACCTCGCCTTAACCTCAAAGTCACATACCTTTGACTAAAGTACTTAACATATTTCAAAATCACCACAGCAAAAGCCGTCTCTCCAGAGGAGCGGTTTGAATGCGCTTCCTCCCCTAAAAAAAGTATGTACTGAGGGTTCTAAACTAAGGAATTTTTTTTGTTTTCTCCACAGATCCCTGCGAAAGTGGACATGGCAGTGAGTGCGTCAATACCGTGGGAGCTTTTTACTGCAACTGCGCACCCGGTTACAGCGGGTTGCGCTGTGAGGTGGACATCGACGAGTGTGCATCCACTCCTTGCGTCAATGGGGGCACCTGCCTCAACCTGGCCGGGATGTTCAATTGCGTCTGTGTCAGAGGTAAGAAACTGGGGCAGAGACGAGCGAAGCAACTGTGGCAAATGTTCTGGATAGCTGACCTCATCTTTTTCATTGTATGAGTGCATAAGCAAACTTAGTTTGGCCCAGATGGAAACATAATAGGAATGCTGCTTTCCTTATAAGCAACGGAAGGGGGGGGGGGTGAAACATTCTTCCACAACCATCGGCTTTCTTCCATCGGGAATGTACCGAGTTACTCAAAATGAGTGTTCAAAAACGAGCCAGAATATTCTGACTTTTGACATGCTGCTTTGAAGACTAAATCCTATACCACACTTTGAAGCCTTAGTCTGAAGAAAACTGTTTTTTTCCTCTTTGAATTTCAGGACCAAGACCACATAGAACGTTGCACCTCGCAAGTTGAAATAAGTGTGATACGTCTTGCATTGACTTTAGCAGATACTCTTTTTTTTTTTTTTTTTACTTCCAAATATCTGATTTTTCCCATTCTGATCTTGACCTTGCAGGCTACACAGGTGTCTACTGCGAAACCGACATCGATGAGTGCGCGAGTAACCCTTGCCTAAACGACGGTTTCTGCCTGAACAAGGTGGGCCGGTATCAGTGCAACTGTCTGGAAGGTTACACCGGGGCCCGCTGCGAGGCGAACATCAATGAGTGCCTCTCGGACCCCTGCCAGAACGGGGGAACGTGCCTAGACGGTGCCAATCAGTACACATGCAGCTGTCTACCAGGTAAGCATTAGACATCAGCTTAGCACAGAAAAAAAAATCTGCTTATTTGCATGTTACCAGCTACAGAATCTCATCAGACGTGTATTGATTGTGGCTGCTTCTCAGCTGATAATTTTTTTTGTTTAGCACAGTAATTTTGCGAATGGCAATTTTAGCTTACCTCCTGGAAAATTTGGTTGATTTGGCATCAGAATCGTCAAGTATGAGTTGTTAGATCAGCCTCCTTAGCTGACTAATACTAATGGACGAATACTTGCCAGCTTGGATGTTTTTTTTTTACCCAGGAACCCGGTTAGTGGGTCTCCTAAGGGGCATTCTGTAAGAATGTTATTTACGTATCTGGCGTAGACAGTTTTTTTGGCAATAACTCATTATCCATCCCCGATGAAACAAAAATGCACTGCTAGGGATGCAACTGCTACCTTTGAGAAGTCCCAGCCAAGGTTATGTATGCGCCTGTTTTTTTCTCCCTCCTGTCCTGTAGGCTACACTGGCGTGGACTGCGAGACTGACTACGACGATTGCCAGCACGACTCCTGCTTCAACGGCCGCTGCCAGGATGCCCTCAACGGCTTCACCTGCATCTGCAACTTGGGCTACGAGGGCCGGCTGTGCGAGAACCAGATTGACGAGTGCCTGGACGAGCCCTGCCAGAACGGCGGGACCTGCATCGGCCTGGTTGGGGCCTACCAGTGCGTCTGTGCCCCAGGGACCACTGGTAAGATCACTGAAAAAAACCCAAACCTTGGTGTAATATGAAGCAAGTTCCATTGAGGAGCATAGGTCATCTAGTGGTTGTTTTGTGACACACCTTACCCCTGCACAAAGCCTGTCAGCAAAGACTTCCATGGAAGCAATTTGTAGCGTGCTCCATATATATTTTGGGGAAGGCCTTGAAATGCGAGACGCTTTGAAAAACAATAAAGCCAAATCTTCCCCTATTCATGAATTAGCAGTTTGGAAGTGTTTGGATTCTGGAAGGCAAAGTAATGTGAGGAGGAGTGCAACAAATGTTGTGAATAATTGTATTGCTTACAAATTTCATTTCTCACAAAACTAATTACTAACGTTTTGTTACAGGTGCCACTTGTTCCATAAACACTTATGAGTGCTCGTCCAACCCATGTCAGAATGGTGGATTGTGTAACGATTTAATCAACGGATATGAATGCGAGTGTCTGGCAGGTTATGAGGGACTACTCTGTGAGGTCAACATAGACGAGTGTGCCTCCAACCCTTGCGCCAACGGGGGCACCTGCCACGACGACATCAACAAGTTCATCTGCACCTGCCCCTCGGGCTACCACGACGCCCTCTGCTTTTCAAGCATTAACGAGTGTGAGAGCTCGCCCTGCTTAAACGGCGGCACCTGCCAGGACGGCGTCAATGAGTACGCCTGCGAGTGCGTGCGGGGCTACGGCGGGCCCCGCTGCAATGCCGACATCGACGAGTGCGCCTCCAACCCCTGTCAGCACGGCGGCCGCTGCGCCAGCGGCCTGGACTACTACGTCTGCGAGTGTCCCGAGGGCTACGCCGGCACCAACTGCGAGAGCAACGTCGACGACTGCGTGGGGTACCCTTGCCGCAACAACGGGACCTGCATCGACGCGGTCAACTCGTTTGAGTGCGTCTGCATCCCGCCGTATACCGGGGAGGTTTGCGAGGACCTGCTGCAACCTTGCGAGAACCACCGATGTGAGAACGGTGCTACATGCGAACCGTTCCCCAGCTACAATGGATACTCCTGCAGATGTCCAAATGGCTACACAGGTAAACAGAACCGTTACTCTGGCCAGGGTACTCACTACTGTACTCTATGGCACCTGAGCACGCAACAGCTGTGGTAACTTGTTGTGTTGAAACTACAACATTGTGCAATCAGCACTGTACAACCTCAGCTTACTACAGTACTTCAAATTTGGACTAGTTGATGCAAAAAAAACATTTCCGTTATTCTGGGGTCTGGATATGCCTACAATTAAAGTGCAACCTAAAAGGAGTGTTTTGATGTGGATTGGTTTCAAATAGGAAAGAATATAGTATTCAGACGCCACTTCTTTGGTTGTAAACAAAGTCTACAAAGAGTCAAGTGCATTTGCAAAGTATTTTCTAACAAACTTGGAAAAGTTCCTCAGTCCTAAATTCATGTCTTTTAAACTTTGTTTGCAATTACTGACCTTCACCGAGATAATATATGATGAAAAAAGTGGCGTCAGGATCCAACATTCTTTCCTCAATTAGGGTAAAAAAATTAAAACGCTGTATTAACCTTTTTTCATATTGCACCCTGTTTTCTAGATGTCAAATTTCAAAATCAATTATCCCATACAATCAGGTGAATTCTGCAACCGAGATATTGATGAGTGCGGTGAGTACCCGCCCTGCCACAACGGTGCAATCTGCAACAACACCTTTGGTTCCTATGAGTGCATCTGCCCCCCAGGATTCGGCGGCCAGGACTGCATAACCAACATCGATGAATGCGAGTCTGGTGAGTTTAACCCTAACTCCCTAGCGTCTTTTATTAGGAACTGGACCAATTCCATCAAAATCTTTCAATCACTGTGCGGCCAATACAAAACTGTACATGACATAATGGAATCCACCACTGACGCACTGATTGACATTCATGGACTTGCTACACATGGCTTTTATCACAATAGCAGTACAGGAAGCTGGGCAAAATCAATCGGATACCCCTAGCACTGCTTCAGGCCATTAGGCCCAAGTCCATCATACTCCATCAATATTTAGTCACGCCAGGCCTTCTGGACCAAGTCCCCCCAAATCCACCAAAATGGGGGGATGGATTTTGATGGATTTGGGGTGGTTAGGGTTAATGCAACCTACAGATTGATGCACTGCATTATGGAACCATTTTGGTGAAGTTGTGTGTTTGTATTGCAAGATTGGAGAACGGAAAAGCAGCTTGCCCTTCATGGCATGCAGCTTTCTATAGGAGAGATTCGGAACAGATTGATCATTACCTCATATTCCTCTTCCCTTAAAAAAACAGAGGGCAGGCTAGAGTTGAAACAGGTGTGAACCCCAACAACTTTTCCAATATGTAAAATTATTAAAGTAATTCGGAATTCTAAATGTTTAGCAAAGTCATTAATGTGCATTAATTTTCCCAGTGCAATAGCGCAATATACTCAGCAGTCAAGTCGACTTTTTTTGAGATACGGCAGACACAACAAGTGGGCATTACTTGGAATGGGTAAATTTGGGTAAATAAAAGAGCTCAAAATAGTGCCCTCAATTTCTCCAGAAAGCCAGTGCCTACTTTGGAGCACTTACTTAGTCAGATTTGTGTCATTTAAACTTCCTTAGTTTTGTACGAGTCAATTTATGCATTCAATTTGTTTTTTCTCCCAGACCCTTGCCAGAACGGCGCGGCCTGCTTTGACAAGACCAACGACTACACCTGCGCGTGCCTGCCGGGCTTTACGGGCAAGAACTGCGAGACGGACACAGACGAGTGCGAGTCCAACCCGTGCCGGAACGGCGCCACCTGCCACGACTACGTCTCCAGCTTCACCTGCGCCTGCACGCTGGGATACAGCGGAGTCTACTGCCAGACCAACGACATGGACTGCACTGAGAGGTAAACTGGGGAACCAGACTAGATAGCACAAATGTTTTTTTTTTAGGGGGGGAGGGGTTTAAGATGTTTGCAGATGTGAAGTGAATAAGTCTGGAAAAAAAAATTGAAAAGAATCAAGAGGAAATGTGGTTTAACCTGTTAGCACCTGTATTATAACCTATTATAATAACCTTGCAAATTGTTCACATCGTACATTGCAAAGTTTGTGTGTTTTTAAAATGTTGGTTTGCTTTGTCACAAAAAATTGAAAGGTTGAGAATTTATTCCCCTGTATACCATAATAGTTTTTGTGTGAGAGACTTTTTTTTTTTATTGAAAAAAACATGTCTTCTTCCTGTCCAAGCTCTTGTCTGTATGGAGGTACATGCATCGATGGAGTCAATGAATACACCTGTCACTGTACACCTGGCCACGTCGGCCCCAACTGCCAATACCAGGTGGACGAGTGCAGCTCCAACCTCTGCCAGAACGGGGCCACCTGTGTAGACCATACAGGCTACTACACCTGCAACTGTGTGCTGGGCTACCTCGGGGAGAATTGCCAGGTAAGTTTTGGGCCCGTGACCATTCAGCCCTGGTATGAAAAGGGCCCCTTGGTAAGCTCGTCACCGCCCAAAATGGCCCAGTTACCGGCCTAGGAGCTGGTCCGATGGCTGATCAGAAACTGCTCTATCCCGGGGTCAATTGTTTGCAAGTGTTGACACATGTGATATATCCCAGAAGAAACCCGCTTGTGGTTTCATCTCTCAGCGCGAAACAATAGAACACTTTCATCGGCACAGATCAAACCCCCTGCCATGCGGTTTCGCGCACAATGAGACTGTAAATCAACAAGGCGTTTGGAAGGATTTTATCTTTAATCCGATAACTTTTCTTTTGTTCTGCTCTGGACGTTCTCTTAAGGGTAATAAATTGATGCACCTGACTGATTTCAAAACTTCAGGACAGACAGGCCCATGTACCGAATGAGACTGGGCTGAAGAGCGGACTGGCTCTGGACCGGACGAGGTACCGGGGGACCCTCTTCATACCAGGGCTGAATGGTCACGGGCCCTTGTTGAATGTGATCAAGTTACAGACTAATTTGGCAACCACAATTTAAAGCCTCGACTGAGTTGGAACCGTGCCAGTGCGCAAGTCTCGTGTGTGTACTCGTGTCATGCCTTGCCTTGTCAAAAATGAATGCGTACATGTAACTTAATTTTGAAGAAGGCATGTCACATCTGTACGACTGAGGTGCCAACCTCGGTTATACCACGCAGTTGTGGTCAATGGGTTTATCGGTGGGCTCTGTTTTGAAATTATCTGTGCTGCATTTTGTGACTCAAAGTGGCGGAAATGAAAGATCTGTTACACATCGGAGCCTTTGTTTTTTTCTATCTTGTCGGTACCCTTGAGCTAATCTATGTAATAGACCATGGCGAAAGCCATGGGCTATTATGCGTGAACAGATTCGTTGAATAATTAGTCAAGACCCCGCCTCTTGACATCCTAGATTTTGACCAATCAGCGGGCGCTTTCCATACCGGGTCTTCGGTCATTCACCCATTGCGCATCATAGACAAGGGATAAAAAAAAAATGTGTCCCGCGCTCTGTATCATGTTATGCGATATCGCGCCCGGCTGTTGTTGTATTACAAAACACTGCACATTCGATTTGACCAATCAAACCATTTAGTCCTGATTTGGGAATGAACTGACGTCACGATTTAGTAAAAAGTCGACTCCAGTTGGCTGGTGCGTGGCTTGCATATATCTGCATGTCTAGACATATCGGATGTTATACAATACTTGGTTCCGTGGATAACGGGTGATACTCAGACTACCCTTGAGCAAGGTGGATCAAGAAACTTTGCTTCACCATTTTGCAACTTATTGACTTCGCTACATTGTCGCCAGTTGGCTTTGACATAATGGGAACAGAATGGAGAATCACTTGGGTATAAAAACTGGGTTACATTTTCTGGGTTAGCTGTTCCCATATTTGGTTATAATTAATGACTTTGTGTCGAGGAAACAATGTACAATATACAAGTATGTTGTGCATGTTCAATTGAACTTGGTGATCTATTAACTGTCATTTCTGGAGCAGACATGAGCGATGGCTCGGGGATTTGAATGACCTCGTTTCTGTGAATGGACTGTTTGTCTCTTGTGTAAACGAGCCTTGCCGAGATGTTTTTTTGCTGGCACCTAGCACTTTTAAAACCCAGTTTAGAAACCCAGTTTAAAATAATGGAAGTTCTAATTTGGGTTGAAGCATTTTCACGGCAGCTGCGCATCCAATGTGTAGCTCAGCTATTGTTGTCAAACAAAGTGTCTGTTTTGACCTGTTTACTTGGCTTGACAATGGACCAACATTGCATTGCATTAGCTGATATGGTGCATACTACTGGAAGACAACTGTCAAGCATGGGTTTTACTTCTAATTTTTTGCATGGAAAGTTGTGTTTTATGTTTCGCCAGAGTGTTTGCAGAGTGCTCTGAAATTAGTCCCTTTGATTTGTCTTGTGATAACAATTTTTGTAAACAAAATTCGAAAGATCACTCACAGGGTTCGACCTTAACTTTTTTTTTCCACTAGCCAGCTGGGCTGCTGAAACGAACTCTTAACTAGCCCGCAGGCATTTTCACTAGTCTGCATGTTTTTCTTTTATATAGTGTCTTATAAACAACAGTGTGCATACATGTAAAACGTGTTTCCTGAGGCAATCTTGTCAGTGTTTTTAATAAACAGATGTAATAATTTAACCCTTAGCAGTAAAATTAGACACAAATTGATACCTGTTTGCTTTCTGAATTTCATGAGTTATTTTTCTCCCCGTCCTTTCATCTTTGCCGTAGCCCAATAATTTGTGACTCGCCAGCCGGGCTACTTAAGGAATAGTTTGACTAGCCCGCCGCTGTTTTGACTAGCATTTGGCTAGCGGGCTATTGCTAAAGTTGTGCCCCTGCCTCTAACCTCGTGCACAAAAAAATGCTTTGAAAAGATATACATGTAGGACTCTGAACAAAAGGCATTTTCCCCAAATATATATTTGTTTAGCTTCATTGTAAAATATTGTTTGCAGTCTGATAAAATGGGTAGAGTAGAGTCCAATACTTAAAGAAAGATGACAAGTTTCAATGTATTGTTGTTTTGTAACTTCTTTAGCGCGGCACATAAAAAAAACATAGTGACTTTGTCGCTCATTGTTTCACACGGCCTGTTTGCCTGTGGTTCGCTGGCCACCTGTCCATTGTAGTCACGACGCTGATCCACTTCCCAGGCAGTCGCTCCAATTACTTCCGACCCGGACTTGCCCTCAGAAATATGCGGGCTTCCCCAAATAAATCCCCTGTATTCATGACTTCGCGCCTGACTGCACCATCAGAGATGATACAACCGCTACTCTATAGTGGCCATGCTCCAGTTACTCTCAGCGCCTCATTGTTAGTCAGTCGTCAATGGGTTTCTTTTTTTCTTTTTTTTTCCCACGCAGGATCTGGTTGACTGGTGCAGCGCTGAAATCAACCCCTGCTCCAATGGGGCCACCTGCACGCAGACCGACAACCGGTATACGTGCACATGTGAGGGCGCCTGGGCCGGTTCCCTGTGCGACGTCCACCAAGTGTCCTGCGACGTCGCCGCGTCAGAAAAAGGTAAACTATTTACCTCTGGGATCCACTATTGCCCGGGGAGGCTTTTGGCAGGAAATATTGCCTTGGAACTCCATGTGATATTGAGCAGGGTACCAGTCAGTAGCAACATACATTGCGATACTTTTTTGGGCCTGGAGACCCGAGTTTGATGAACAGATGTTTACTGCGTTACGCACAATTTATTATCGATTGCCTGCAGTTGTTTTCTTTATTTTTGGCTATTTTCAGTTCATATCGGTTGTATTTCCACATTTCTTTCATTTGTAACAAGTTTATTGTGTTGTGCTGCCGAGGTTTCCAGGTTTTTATTGGCATGCAGATTTTGTCTGATCGGGAACTGTGCAGTAGTAAAAAATGATTCATGAAAAGAATGCAAATCAGTCGAATGATATGCAAGCAACAGGGACAAACTTTTAAAAGCAACAGCCAACATCTTAACATTTTCACAAACACAAATAAATCTTTCTCAGCTCTAAACTTTTCTCGTTTAAATGTTTGTTTCTCAGCCAAACCGGCATGTTTTAATAAATGATGTGGTGCTTATATAGCGCTTTTATACCAAAGGTCTCAAAACGCTTCACAATTATTACCCCTGTTCATCAGGCCACGAGACCAGTTTTAGCTGCAGCTCGAGATCAGCGCATTCTGGTCACTACCTTCGCAGGTACCCATTTATACTCCTGGGTGGCGAGAGGCAATTGTAGTAAAGTGCCTTGCCTAAGAACACAAGCACCAGGGTTCGAACCCACGTACCATAGCACGTGAGTCGAATACTGTAACCATTGGATGACAGCACTCCAATGTGCGTTTCAGCAGAGTGCATTCCAAAGAGACGGCTTATTTCACCTGGAAAATATCTTAAAAACGGTAATTCTGGGGGAAAAGTAATTACAACCCATCCATTCTGGCATCCCATGTGATCTCCATGGTTTATGTGCTCTGTTTCCTCTCGCAGGCGTGACAGTAGAGAACCTGTGCCTCAATGGCGGCACCTGTCAGACCCACGGCAACAGCCACATATGCCAGTGCCAGCCCGGCTTCCGGGGAAGCTACTGCGAGACCAACATACGGGAGTGTGCGTCGGCGCCCTGTCAGAATGGGGGGACCTGCCGTGACGGAGTTAATGAGTACAGGTAGGCACGCCTCAAATTTAAAACAGACTCGGTGGTTATTTTTTTCTGAATTCTTGGCATTTTTTCCTGAAAATTGTAGACGTCCACTGAGGTTTATTTTGGGCTGCTACTTAAAAAAAAAAACACTTAAAAAAAAAACGCTGAGATTTTTATGGTGAGGGACTTTGGCTCTAACAGGTGCTACATTACCAAACAGTGGATGTGTGCTTTTGACAATCATCAGCTATCTTAAACACCTAGAGGAGAATGCAAAATTAAAGAGGTGGTAACTGGAGGTTTACCCCGAGGTTTTAGGAGGTTTAACTGGGTTTTGTGGGTTACCTCAGGGTAAAACCTCGAGTTACAAGGTTTAACAGGTTTTTTTGGGTTACCTCGGGGTAAAACCTCGAGTGACCTTAAGGTAATGAAAATGTTTTTTTTTTCTTTTGAAGTTTTTGTTTCAGTAGTGAGTAAAGACTTTCATGAAAAAAACGTAAATAAGAGCCACTAGATGCAATATTACTTGCCACTAATTTATTTTATAAAATTGGTTAAATTTAAAGTAAGAACTACATTGAGCAGTGAATAGACATCCTTCTTGTAGTTGGATGTAGAATTTATTGTTGCAACATAAAGATACAACAGGGTTCTAAGTTGCAACGGCCAAACCTTGGCCTTTACCAAAATTATTTTTCATAACAAACTGAGGCTGTATCCACAAGAACACAGAGTTGAATTCATCTTGGATCTGACGCTGGAACTTGACGAATCTGCTACTGGAATGTGGAAACAATGTCTGACTTTTTGTCTTGCAGCTGTTCCTGTGTGGCAGGCTTTGAGGGACTGAACTGCGAGAACAACGTGGACGAGTGCGCCAGCTCTCCGTGCATGCACGGCGGCGTCTGCCACGACCTGGTCAATTCCTACAGCTGCTCCTGCAAGTCTGGCACTGAAGGTGAGCGCATTGACCCCTGACCTTTGACCTAGTAGCATCTCATGAACTTATTGCTCTTTCTTTCGCGGATTGACATCTTGACACTCTTCAATGATATTTAACTTTGTCTGCATTTTGGACGTACGGATGTCCATCTGTACTTGAGTACCTTTACCCTAAACTATCTAGGCATTTTCGCTAGGATGCAATCTCAATCCCGCAAAATCCTCCAACTGCCTCCATGTAAAAATTGCATACAGCCTCAATGAGGTACTTGGAGGGGTGACCACTACCTCAATCCTGCAAAATCCTCCAGGAATCACTGTCAATATGTTGAGTCAGAGCATGTAACATCCTGGAGCAGTGTGGAGCATTTTAAGTATAATGTAGGCCTAAATTTATGCATGGCTGAGCATAAATAGTGCAAGGTTCGGTCTAAGACCTTCACACCGTCCATCCTCCGAAATCAGCCACATGTTTTGGCCCTATAGCCTCAATCCTGCAAAATCCTCCCATTTTGCAAAGAGGCTTTTGGAGGATTTGGGAAGGTTAGGGTTAACGTAACCTGTTTGGGCCTCTCGCAATTTCACAGGCATAAACTGCCAGATCAACAACAACGACTGCTTCTCGGGGGCGTGCTTCCACGACGGCACCTGCCGGGACCTGATCGGCAGCTTCACCTGCGACTGCCCGGCAGGCTACGTCGGCCAGCGCTGCGAGGGCGACATCAACGAGTGTCTGAGCATGCCCTGCCACCCGGCGGGAACCTCCAGCTGCATCCAGAAAGTCAACGACTTTGAGTGCGTCTGCAATCTGGGCTACGAAGGTAGGTCTGGGCGCATTACTCTCAGGAGGTTGAGCTGGCTGCTCATATGTGGGCTGAGAAGGGATTGCGAGACGGGAAGAAAAGAGAAAAAATTTAATATTGGGGTTTTCACTTCCCTGACATTATGTTATGTACACAATTGTATGATCCTTTACTTATCAACCCTAACTACCTATGGGGGGTGTGCAAAATCATATTAAAATTGGAAGATTCAGGACTGTTTGGGTTAATCACAAGCCAAATCATTCTTGAGTTCAAAAGTTACAGGCCGTGAACACAAATAGAACGCCTCTGTCATCGTATCTTTGAATGGCCTTCCACATCCACCGGACGAAATGAGATTGACTTATGATTTAGTTGGGAAAACTTGTGAGGACTTTGACTATAACGCTCATTGCTTTCTGAGAGCCCGTACAGTACAATTGTTCATAAACTCACTGAGGCAGGACTCCACTGCTAACCTTATAAGGGTCATTGATGTGTTCTATGATTGCGACGATAAAAACTGATGTTCAACAGACCTTAAGTATTGGATTAGATTCATACAAGGAGAGCGTTATTGGAAGTGGCAGCTATTAGTTCTACATGTGGCGGCTGTAACCTCCACTAACAGGATGTACTGTCCTGGAAAACAAAGTCACATCATTGCTTAGAAATGTCCTCCGGTTGAAAGTATGCGAATCCCGAGTGCGATCCCCTTTTTTTGTTTTGGTTTGACAGGGCGGCTGTGTGACACGCAGGTGCGCTACTGTGATTCCAACCCTTGCCAGAATGAAGGCACATGCACCATCACTAGGAGCGGATTCCATTGCCAGTGCACACAGGTAAATATTAGTAACATTGCACTGTGAATACACGGCACTACTCAAATGTACACATCTAGTATGCTGTTGAGGTGTTGCCTCAAGTGAAATGAAGTTTTTTACTGCAATTTGTATTCCATTTTTTGTGTGAATTTAGCGATAAAGGTCCATTATGAGCACGAGAATAAATTTTAGAACATGTGGGGAAGATTACTTGAGAACCCTTGGAAACTCGTTGAGTGCATTGTGATGAGCAGTCGAAAAATACTTGAACATGAGTGTGAGTTTGTATGCGCATTCAAATCGTGGACCTTGAACAATAGGGGACAGTAGGGTCCACGATTTGACAAAAGGTCCACGATTGAGATTCGTGTTCAAATCAATGAGAGCTGTTGCTAAAAAGTTAGAGTACAAACAAAAGAAGGACGATAGGGGGTCCACGATTGAGTTTGTTTATGGTGTAAATCGAGGACACACACATGCAACATCATCAGTGAATCGAGGACAGGAACCAAATCGAGGACAACCAGGATTAGAAAACGTGTACAAAAACCAATGAGAGCTGTTGCAAAGAAGTATAAACAAGGGAAAAGGGAAGAGGAACAAAAGAAAATCCTCGCTTTACACCATAAACAAACCTGCTAGTGCCTGTGTGAGTATATATATGGGAGTACATGCACTACTTTAATACCTGTTTGGATTTGACCTTGTGCACTATTCAGGACTTTAAAGGGAACATCTGCGGGGAACCGGTGACCATGTGTGATGCCAACCCTTGCCAGAACTCGGGCACCTGCCGTGTAGACCCAGACAACCAGGTGGGCTACATCTGTGACTGCCCCGCCGACATATTCGGTGACAACTGCGAGACTCGTGACCCCTGTCGTGCCGGGCCCTGCGCCCACGGCGGGGACTGCCTCTTGCAGTGGGAGAGCTACGTCTGCCGGTGCCCGGCCACGTGGAGTGGACGACGCTGCCAGGTGTTTGACCCCGACTTCCCCGGCGGCATCGGGTCGGATCCCGTCCTGCCTACGACCCCGGCCTTGCTGGTGCCCACTACGGCCCAGAGACCGCTGATCCCGACCACGGCAGTAGTGGTGACAAGGACCACTCGGAAGGAGACTCCTACACCTCCCATGAACAATGACTTCTGCTCAGCCTCCTGTGTGCAAAGGAAAGGCAACGGCGTCTGTGATGTGAGTTTGAACTTTTTGGTCAAATCCCAAAATCTTTTTTCCCCCTGATTAGAGACAGCACTGGTGTGCACTCTTTCATAGCGTTCACTTAGAACTATTGCCAACAAGAATACCGAAAATGTATACATGCAATTTTGCAAAATAGAATGCACTTTAAAGCATCAGATTGTTCAATGCACATATTTTGTCCCTCATATGATTAGGAGGGTTTTCTGTTCAACTTCAGCACAGTTTAAAAATCTAGATGCTTACTCATAACATTTTTTTTTTTAGGGACACGTCTGCAGTAGCAAAGCAATTTAGTGAGGGGAGAATTTTTACGAGCCTTATAAAAACTGTGTCTTGTTTCAAAACTCCCTGTTTAAATGATTCCTTAGACTGTGGAATACTTGCTTATGCTCAGCGGGAAGAGTTCAGAAATGCCTGTTTCCAGTTGCGAATGAAAATGTGTTCTTGATGCTGGTATTGCACATGAAGCAGGAATTGTCTTGAGTCTTGAGAGGTTGTTTAAACTCTAAGTCTCCCTCCCTTGTAACGCCAGGCGGATTGCAACAACCATGTCTGTAACTGGGACGGCACTGACTGTACCTACGGCGTCAACCCTTGGATCAACTGCACCGTCTCAACGGTCAAGTGCTGGGAGCTGTACAGCAACGGGGAGTGTGACGAGATCTGCAACAACAGGGACTGTATATACGACGGCTTTGATTGCGAGAGGAAACTGCCCGATTGCAAGTAAGTAAATGGGTCAGGATTAAACCTTGGGATTGGTATTAAGTTGTGATTAACTCACTAAGCAGTTTCAGAGGGAACCTCTCTGAATCCTTTAAGAAAAATGAATGTCCCACTACATTGGATCCCATGTCAAGAGTTGTCAAGGAGCGTCTTGTTGAGTAATATTAGTTTGGTGGTGTTTTCCTGCAAAATTCAATAAAACCTTGTAGTGGATTTTGAGTTATTTAGGAAGATTGGTATTAAGTTGTTGTGGTTGCTGGACTAACTCAGGAGTGTGATTTTTCCGTATTTTTCCGGATTTCCGGATTTTTCATCAACGTCTGCAGATTTTTTTTGCGGATTCCGGATTTTTAACGTTTTCTGTTTCCGTAATAATATCGCCCAAAAACTTCTGGCGAAATATAGGCTCTAATTTACGATAATGGATGGACTGGTGACAAGTCTAATGCAGTGCGGTCAAGAACCTAATAGACATTAATGCAGAATGCGCAGTGGAGTACTTGAGGACCAGACTAAAAATAATTTTCAATGGGTTTGCAGCACCTCGTGTTTGTATATCGCGTGTGGATATGTGTGTGTGTATTGAGCATGTACTGTGCAGTGACGATCGTGTGCTAGCAATTCGCAAACACATTGCTGTCAATATTGCCGCGATTTTGTCAAGGAATTCAAGAGTATGGCTGGAAGAACTGGTAATAAAGTGTCACTGTGGATGGAAATCAGTTTGAGCTGCAGAAGTGCTTTGAAAAATAGCCACCACCAACACAAAATTTCAAAAAAATTTTGGAAGCCTGGGACTGGAGTTTAAATTAAAGTAAGATTAATTTAACCCTAACAGTCCTGAATCCTCCAATTTCAATACGTTTTTGCATACCCCCTAGGGAGTTAGGGTTAAACTTTTTCAGCACCGTTCATATTGTTTTGTGTGAATCGTTTCTCTCTGCAACATGCAAAAGTAATAACATCACACACAGAAAAAGCCTTTATGAATCAATCACATGGATTATATTATTTAATGACCAGACGTTTTTTCTTAATTTTTCCCCCATTTGTTTTCTTTACTGAAGCGACAAAATTTGCTAACATTACAGAAATTACAGTACATGTACATGCCCTAGGCCTATATATGGACATACGTGCATGCATATGTATACATGTACATCTATACAAGTACATGTACAATAATACATGTACATGTACATGTACATGTAAATTACATGTCAACCGAAGTTCGTGGATTTTTCATTTTTGTCCAATCACACCCCTGCTAACTGGCTTTATTAAACCGACCAATTTTGCAGCCCTGTCTATGATGCCTACTGCCACGAGAACTACGCCAACGATGCTTGCGACGGCGGCTGCAACACTGCCGAGTGTGTCCACGATGGCCTGGACTGCGACGACCGGCCGCCCATGTTCGCCAAGGGCATCTTGATCGTCATCGTGCTGATCCCCGTCGAGGAGATGCGCGCCGGCAATGTCAGCAAGACTTTCCTGCGGGAGATTGGCCATGTCTTGCGCACGGTGGTGGTCTTCCTGAAGGACGATAACGGAGACAACCGTATCGAGCCCTGGCAGTCCAGCCAGGGCGGGGAGGGCATAGGCATCTTCTTCCGCTTCAAGCGGGAAGCGTACCTGACGCTGACGGGAAACGGGGAAGCGGTCCTGAGCAGGCATCGGAGGGCGGGAACGCTCAGTGGGTGAGTAGCGAGTGAGGTCAAGGGATCTCACTTAGTCCAGCCAGAGTTGTAATCAAAATCAATCGTAAGCCAATCACAGACCATTCACACTTTAGTGAGTAGCGATGATTGAGATCTCACTTAATCTGCTTAGAGAGGTTATTGGATCAGTTGCAGGTCAATCACAAGTCTGGTCACAAGTAAGGGGAGGAACAGTGACTGAAGAGTGCTCGTGTCTCAATTTATTTGAAGAGCTTATCACTTGAATAGATGACTTACGATTGACTTATGATGATGTGTAAAAACTTGATTACAACACTACTCTTCCAGCCACAGGTGACTGGCCAGCCACAGCATTTCATGAGCAGTTGAAATGATGGCTTCGCTTTTAGAAAAGTGTTAACGACAGCAGCATCCCACACATTACACGTAGGAACAATTCTACTCAATGAAGACTCGAAGAGAATTAATTCATTGCTCTCTCTCTCTCTCTCTCTCTCTCTCAGGTCCAAGACGTATCTGCGCATTGACAATCGGGGCTGTGTGGATGACAGCCATACCTGCATCCAGGATGCAAGTGAAGCAGCCAAGATGTTAGGTGCTGCTGCATCCAAAGGAGAAATTGACTTCCCGATTTATGGAGTTGGCAGTAAGTATCTGAACACGCACTGTGAACCTTTTAGAGTCACTGCTGAACGCAGTTACTTGTCTAGTGGAACATTAATGTTCCCATTCAAATAATTTTTGTTTTACATCACGTTCGAACCAAGAGATTGGTTTGGACCTGTGATGTCTGGAATGCATTACTTGTGCTCTACTTAGCTTACATGTGGGCAGCATGGCTTATTGTTGTTGGCAATGCGAGTTTCGGTTTGATCCATGCATGCAGGCGTATGGCTACCTATTGAACAAGGATTTAGACTAGTTGGGAGATTGCCCACATGGGGATGATGGCCCAAATATAAAGCAATAGTTATCCAGAGATCAAGCTCAACTTAGTGTTTAAAATCCAACCATGTCAGTTTCCCTTTGTGGTGTATAGATAAGCAAAACAAGTTCAGATTTCTCCCTGCAGGAGCTGCACAAATCCGTAGGATGCTTCCCTTTTTGTTATTCAGACAATCGTTTTGACCTTTGCCTTTTTGCCCTTTAACACAGGCGAGGAAGATCAGCCTGGCGCTGGCAACTGGCAACAGATCATACCGGCGGTGGTGGTCATCGTGGTCTTTGTCCTCGTGGCCATGCTGGTCATCGTCCGCAAGCGGCTGCGCTCCGGCGGCACCTGGTTCCCCGATGACTTCAAGTGGCGCAAGACCAGCACGGGCAGCCGGGGCTCGGCCCAGCGGCACGGACCCCAGGGCCGGGAGGAGACGCCAGGCGGCATGGTGGACGGCCAGATCATGCTGACCATCTCGGGGGCCACCACCACGGAGAGCAGCGAGGGGGACGCCCACGAGGCGCTGGACTGGGAGCGGTCCCAGGCCCGCTGCCAACCTCTCAATGACCGACCCAGGGTAAGCCTCTTGGTAATCTTGGGCATCTCTCGTTCAAAAGCATGCCAAGGCTGTGACAGCCCAGGAAAAGCATCTTTTGCCAGCTTTTCCAATCCATCCATCCATCTATCTGTTTATAGTCCATCTGTCCCCGAACTCGAGGGTTGGACTCGGCTTGTCATTGTCCTTATTAGCATTTCTGATTTCATCGGGCTCACATGTTAGTCAGGGTTGAGTATTCTGGCCGGATACTCGCGGTAAAGGATCACCCCTCTCCCCTCGGCATCTGCCACAGAGCCAATGCCCCGGGTATCAAAGGTCGCGCTCCTGACGTGTGTGGGGGGGGGGGGGGAGTGGCTCTTACGCAGAGATGTAGTCAAGTCCTAGCTGACAAGTCAATCCCAAGTTAATCACAAGTCATTCAGTTTCCAAGCTATTTAAAGTCACAAGCCATTTAAGCAATCCAGGACATCAGCATTCCTTTGTCACTGCTCATTTTCCTGTTATTTATGATCTCAGTTGTGTTCAAACCTGATTGGACTTGTGATGGACTTGGCCAAACGTCTGCAAATTCAGAATATCAAATTTTTAAAAGCTGTGGTGCGGTACCAAAGAAAACCACCATTTAATCATCATGGTTTGGTGTCTGCCATTCCTTTACTAGATCCAGGCAGTGAGACGACTCAGCCCGTCCTCCACCGCCACCACAACCCTACCGGACTACCCTGAGCTGCACAGCAGCTCCCACTTGATGCTGACACCACCCCAGAACAGCAGGGAGACGGAGGTGGATGACCCAGGTCAAGGTAGGTCACATGATTATTAAGCAGTAAGCCTTGTTTATCTTGGAGACTCCTTTTCAGTTTCTTGTTTGTGCCCAATGCTTAAAAAGTGTCAGAGGTGTTATTTTAAACTGTTGATGAGTTGTTTTGTGCAATATTGTGAAATATTCTTGTAGTCTGTAGCGCTTTTGAATAGCAAAGGGGTACTTTCCTCACCTCCCACAAGTTTGATCCTTGTTTGAAATCCTCCCAGGCCAACATGACTTTCCGAGGAACCCTTTGTTGTCATTATCATCAGGAATTTAAAAGTAAATTAATTTGAATTTTACTTTGCCTCCACAGATGGAATGACGCCACTGATGTTCGCCGTCATCAGTTGCAACGACCGGGACAGCGACGGGGAGGAGTGCTCAGCCAACGCCATCGAGGAGCTGATTGCCCACGGCGCCAAAGTCAACGCCCAAAGCGACAGTCAAGGGGAGACTGCCCTGCACCTTGCAGCCCGCTGGGCCCAACCCTCGGCAGCTAAGAAGCTGCTTGAGCATGGGGCTAATGCCAACGCGGAGGACCAGTCAGGACGGACACCGCTACACACGGCCGTGGGCGCCGACGCTATTGATGTCTTTAGGGTGAGTTTATTGGTTTTGGGTAGTTGTCGCACTGTGGTACAGTCAGCATTCTTTGCTGAACCCAAAATGCAAAGCTATTGCTCTCTGAAAGGCCGAGTCACTACCTGTGGCAGACTGACTGACTGACTGACTGCCCGAGTTACTAAGGCTTCAGGTCCAGCTTGACTAGACAAAGCCTACTCTCGTTTTGAATCGTGTTGTGGGCGTGATAAGTACAAACAGTTGCTAAGAATGGAGACCTGATCTCATAGTTACAGATGCATATGACAACAGGCAACGCCCTCAAAGCTTCAGAGTCTTATCGGTCAAGTATCACGTTGTGCACTAGGAAGTCAGGACTGGGAAGCTTTGTGATGGTGTTTGACCTTCAATCAGCTGGAGCAGTTAGCACTTGGACATTCACCTACAGGTGCAACATAAATCACAAATCCACTACTTTGTTGGCCTCGATCAAAACGTGCTCTAACCATCTCAATGGGGCCCTCCCGTCTCTTTGCGGCAGATCCTGATCATGCACCGCGCCACCAATGTCGACGCCAAGGACAACCACGGCATCACGCCCATGATGATGGCCGCCAGGCTGCAGGTCAAAATTGACATGATCGAGGAACTCATCGAGGCCAATGCGGATGTCAATGCTGCCGATAACGAAGGTGGGTCAGGGGTCGTAGGTCATGTATGGGGTGCAGGAGCTGACAAAACTTCCCTGCTGTTGGGCTCATGCATTTTTTGTTGTCATATGAATGTATGAAAACAACTTTGTTCTGCAGTTACCAGAACCAGTTCATGACATGTAAATGAGAGATAACTAACATGCTTGAAACATAAAAACATGACTCGTTTAATGGTGTAACGTAACTCGTTCCGCTACACAGCAGTGCAGCGTTAAGTTGATCTGTTAACTGACCACTGGATATTAGCCACTGCAGTTTCCTGTTTACGAGTGTGCCAAGTTTCATGCTTAAAAGCTGGTTCCCAAATAGCTGCATTCACTAACAAATTTTGTCTGCTAGTATGTAACCTGCAAGGTTAAACCTTGCGCACATTTTTTTTTAATGATATACCCAAAGGATGTCATGTGTCTCAACTCGGAAGATGTTCGTGAAAACAAAATTTGATAAGGGTTGAGTTTATATGTACTTCAGGTTATTTAGTTAGTGAAAAGAGTAGATGTACTTTCATCAGTTCAATAAAAGTTCTTACCTTGGTCCCCCTTTAGGCAAATCAGCATTACATTGGGCATCGCAGGTGAACTACGTTGACATGGTCAAGTTACTGTTGGAGAGGAAGGCTAACAAAGACATGCAAGACAATAAGGTCAGTAAAGTGATTATCATGTTTTCAAACTTTTGGCCGTGCTTGGTCAAATGTCTCCTGCTTGATGATAAGACTGAAGCCTAATCAAGAAGCTGTGTTCAAGTTTTATTTTTTTACAATGGATATGTCATTCTTTTGGCAGGAGCAAACACCTTTATTCCTGGCCTGCAAGGAGGGTCACGTGGAGACTGTCCGAGTCCTCCTAGATCACTACGCCAACCGTGAGATCACAGACCATCTTGACCAGTCACCTCGCGATAAGGTGAAGGAGAATCGGCACCGTGATGTCCTGAAATTACTGGATACTTATAAGGTGGTGCTGAGCCCGAGTGCCACGTCACCGACTGTGTCTAGCCCAGCTAGCCTGGCCAACGGGGAAATGGGCATGGTGAATGGCTACGGTCACCCAGGCTCCAAGCCAAGCGCCAAGAAGAAGGCGTCGCGCTCTAAATCAGCGGGCCATCAGCAGCATGCTGCTAACGGAGACATCGCATCGCATGCCGGGGAGAAGGCCGACAAGAAGTCGTCGCGCTCACGCAAGAAGCGCAACTCAACAGATGCGCCGACCACGGCCTCGCTTTCGCCGGCCGGCTCGCTGGAGTCCCCGCGTAGCTTTGAAAGGACTTCGCCGCCGTTTCCTGTTTACGCCAATCAAGCGTCCGCGATGGTGGACTACCAACGCATGCCCAATGGGATGCACAACGGCATCCACCAAGTGCCGCGGTACGTGGAAGGGGCTGCGGCTATGAACGGCAATGCGCATCTCAGCCACAGCTTGCAGAGCATCAACCTCAAGACTGTCGTTCCAAACGGGGAGATTGGCTCCGACATTGGGGCCAGCGCCATTGCTGTGTCATGCCCGCCTGAGCACCAGTGGGGTAATACAGCTAGCCATCCACACTCGCAGCAAAATCATAGACTCAGAGAGCAACAGCAGGGTATGGTCTCACAACAGCAACAGCAGCAGCAAGGGGCATGTGCATCGCCGCCTAGTCTACCTCCTCTCTTGCAGCACTCCATGGCTCACGACATGGCGGCCGCCGCTGTGTCTGTTTCCAGTTCTCCGACAGCTCAGTACACGTTATCCCCGACCAAGGGATATTCCAACCAGCATCCGCATGTCGCACACCTGCGGCATCATAACCATCACATGCCCAGGCATCCCTCGCAGTACAGCAACGGCGACGTGCACATGAACAGGCACCCCAAGTCACCCGTTCACAGGTCACACGAACGTTCACAGCCCCTGTGTAAACAGCCGCAGCCGCACCATAACCACATCATCCAGACACAGCTGCCTAACCCGTCTGTGGTCAGCATCATGTCGGACAAATACCCAACCCCGCCCTCCCAACACAGTCAGGGCGGGTCGCCTTGTGCGGACAACAGCCCTCACCTGGGGGTGTTCCCGGAACAGTACCTGACGCCGTCGCCAGAATCACCCGGTCAGTGGTCCAGCTCCTCCCCTCACTCCTCGGCCCACTCGGACTGGTCGGGGTCAGAGGGCATCTCCAGCCCCCCTGGCCCTACAATGAATGGCCATATCCCGGACTCGATACCAATACAGTATAGCCGCTCGGCACAGGTCTTCATCTGATCCAGTGTGGATAATGCTGTATATTTATATATATTGTACATTGTGGGGACGCTGCATATTGTATTCCACAGACAAGGAAATGGACAGTGGGCTGTCGAAATATATACATGTCGCAGTTCTGCGTCTTCTTCCTCGTGTTTTGAACCCAGCCTCAAATGGTGAGTTTGGCTAGGTTTCTATGTGAACCAATCGTGAACAAGAAGATGTAGTATGTACTTTTACAAAATGTGTTAATTCTTTAATGAAAAACCAAAAGATAAAATGCCATCCCAATGATTTTAACTATATAACCCTTTTTTTATACCACTGTGCTGGTCCACGAAGTGTTTGTTTTCGATCATTTTTTTTTGTGTGATCAAAAATTCCAACATTTGAGTACTATTTTAAAGTGTGAATAAAGAGTTCTTACCTGTTCCAGTTAGCGACATAATCATGAGTATGCCAAAAAACCCTTCATCTTTCCGTTTTAAATACCTTGAATGAAAAGGAGATAATGAGATAATGATTTTAACTAATCAAAGCATTCCTTTAAAAGTTCTTTGCTGAAAACATTCAGTTCCTGAGAAGGTACATGTAGCTATCCGTGTATTTCAAACCAACGACCAGTAGATGTTGAAACAGTTTTCCAATTCGGACCAAACGCTCCCCAGAAGTTAAAAAACACAACAAATGAACCATTCACTAGCAAAGATTCGATGAACAACAAAAATGTAAACAGCAGAAGACAATTTTAAGTAGGATTATTTTTGATATTTGGGATTAGTGGTTTTAATATAAGTAGAATCTTAATATAAATGGAAATCTAAGCGCCTTTTTTTATATATATATATTTTGTGTAAGATATTGTATTAAAAAAACAAACAACGCATGCTGAGAACTCGTGGTTTGGTGGCCAGAGATGAACACTACTTTTCTCTGTAAATAGATTTCAAACCAGCAGGCAGTAATTGTATTCATATGCTTTAAGTTATATTTTAAGGAAGTGTAGATTGTTATTGTACAACTGTTGTAAAGTGTCGTTTTCCATCAAGCGAAAGGGGGATTTTGAAACAGGACGAAACGTACCTTGAACAGTACACCTTGAGAATTTCCAATAGAAATTGTGATCATTGAGGCCCATAAGCAAAAATAACCAGATAATCGTAGCCTCTGTTTGCGTCTGGAGATAACATAGTACAATGGCGTTTTTGTATTGGAAGGGCATTTAGCTTTCCCAATGCATTTGAAATACTGAAAATAAAAAAAAGGGAAGTCACAAATGCGTCCAGTATTGAAAAAGCAAATGCTTGTGTTGTTATAATGCTGGAGGAATTTTTCCAATGTTCTCCATTGTTGCTTCTGTTGCACGGTTGATTTTTGCCACAACTTTCTTAGTTTTTTTTCCCCCTGAACTTAATGTGCGGAAAATCCATTTGATTTTGAAGCAAGCAGATAATTTTTTGTCTCTGTGGAAACGAGAGTGACCGACAGTGCCGCAAATTTTTTTTTTCAAACATGTAAAACTTTGGGAATGCACCTTTTAGAAAAATGTTGCCATGTAAAGTTTGAATTTCTTAGAACATGTAAAAAGTCTTGTACAAAACAAAAGACCCTGATTAATTGAAAAAAAAAATATATAAGATAATGAACTTAAAAGAGTCCAATGATTGCTCACAATTTTAAAGCTTTTGTTTACTGTTCCTATGAAGTGCTTACTATGGTTTGTTCTGTTGCATGATTTGGGATCAAGTTCAAAGAGTTGCATAGTTGGTAATCGTATAATCAAACACCAAACTGAAAAAAAATATCAGCTGCTAAAAGAAGGCAGCGTGAAAGCTGGTAGCCAAGACATTAGTTGGTAACCAAGACCATTGCTAGTACCTGAGACATCATCTATGAACCAATCACAAAAAGCCGGTAACCAAAACAAACTGGTATCCGGGACATTATGCAGCTCTATGAACTTTTTCTCCCACTTTTGGCACTGCCAGCTGTAGGGTTATAGAGATTATTTTGTTTTTGTAAAAGAAAAAAATCATGAATATATATTGACCAGTGTAGAATCGACACAATCTCTAAGTGTTATTATTATTTTTCTGGTATGAGAATTATACATGTATAATTGCACTTAATTGTTTGGGTACTTTTTGTATGGTCAGCTATCTTTAGTACTTTAGCAATATACAAAGCACTGCCTTCTTTGTTTAAATAATATTGTAGAGTTGAATTATTCTAAATTGATTATCTTTGTTTTGAGTTCACAGCAGACTCATCCAATTGTGTACTTAATTGTTTCGTTTGTTAAAGTGTAACGACCTGTTAACGGTTTTGTATATTTTTTTTTGCAACTCATTTGCACAAAGAGTGTAAAGTTCAAATGGTTAAAGGCATGGTGGAATTCCTGCTTTGGCCCAAATATGAGCTGTACAGTAATCATTGTTCTTAACGTTTGCATTGTTAAATATTACATTTGCATATCCTATAACAGTGTCCCATTTGTTAATGTGGCTAAGGTTTGGTCCAAACAAACTGAAACTATCTTGCTTTCCGGGTTCATAGTTATGTACTTAACTTCAGTATTTGAAACATCGTTAGTCCCCATTTTAGGGGGTTTATTTGTTTTGCTTATAGTAACATATTTAATTTGTCATGTTTCACACATTTCTTTAAAAATTCGATGTTTGCTAAAAAAAAATAATTGACATGTGCCTTAATGCTAGGCAGACGTATATATGTTAGTGCCTGTCTACTATAAACATTTTTGGCAGGGCTGTGTGTATGAATGAAGAGCAATGTTCTTGACCATATTTGATTGCTCGTGTCATTTAGGAAATACGAAGTCTAAATTTTCTTCTTTTTATCGAGCCATTTAGAAATTCTTTCGAAGCAAATAAGCTGATCCAGAATTTTTTTATTATGAATGAAGTTTCCAGTTGGGTACTAGTTAAAGCGAAATTGTGTGTAACTTATGACAGACAAAAGGGAGCGAAAAAAAGAGAAAAATTCAGCTAAAATTATAATCAGCTAACGTGAAAGAATTTCTAAGTCTGAAATGGCTGTCTTATGTGTACACAGCATAAATGCCGAACTGTGAAATATCCCTACTTAGTGAGCATAGGTACTTACATATTGTTTACATAATTTGCACAAGTTTCCAAGTGTAAAAAAAACAAATTTTCTTCTGGCTGTCTTACTTAATTTTTTCTAAATGTAAGCATCTGCCTAAGACCATTGTAATGTATTGACTGTTTTATATTTCAAACATTATGGTACTTACAAAAAAAAACTCATTGTATTTTGCACGTTCCTGTGTCTTTTGATTTGGAGAACCTTGTATATCTGTTTGGCTTGAGTTTATAGATCAAAATAAACTGTGCAAGAGGCACACGAGAATATTAAGAAAAAAACTGGATGACTGCTCAGATTTTTCCCACGGCGGTGTGAAACACGTCGTGGGCTTGAACTGCTTATGTTGGTTGGTTGGTGGGTTGAATGGACACATTACTTTGCCATATATTGTATTCATACAACTCAAGTATTACAGCTTTGCAAGTCTTACAGCTTTGCATTCGAAGACTGGTTTTGCAAACACTGTTGCATACTTAGCATTTTAGATCACTTCCCATTCCTTTTCATTTTCTGTACTATCAAAGTACCGCGTACCGGTACGGCCCAGGTGCACGGACGGTGCCGTATAGCCATCTTCACATGCTACCCGGCCTCGCTGCTACCCGGCTGCCGTGGGTTGTACCACTTGGTGCTTGTTTTCATTAAAAATGTATGAGAAATTTGCTAAACCTCAGCCTGTCCCCCATAAAAAAAAACCTGATGAAATAAACCTGTTTCTTGTTCTGACAATTAACCCTAAATTCAGGCATGCAACTTGTCCTCTGATACGCTCATTTCCTCGTTTTTTACCTCTCATGAATGCCATTACAAATTGAAAAACACTGTAGAAAGTCTTGTGTGATTTGGAATTTCCTCGTTTTTTTTCTTCTGAATTCCCAGTTGCATGCCTGCTAAATTGGCCCTGATCCATAACATGGTGCATCTCATGAATTAAACATTGAAATATACTCAACTATATCTTCAGCTTCATTGAAAGCCATACTGGTTGCATTGAGGAATTAAAACTATTTCGTGCAGATTCAGTATGCTTTTCAACTTGCATTTTTATTGTCAAACAGCAGAAATCTTAATATTGAAGGAAATACTTATGGGAGTTGATTTCTTCACTGCAATCTTTGATTTCAGTGATCACGATTATAAAACTATTGCACAGAACTTGTGCGAACTGGTAAATTTTTTGTAATTTTGCAAAGATTAACTTGCTTCACAGGCTAAAAAGACTTTGCCAACTGCGGCACACATCACACAACAGCACTGAGTAATGGTGACAAAGTGACAGCAAAACGGAACACAGAATGTCAATAAGAAGTGGTTAGTTATCAATAGTAAACCTAAATTTCACACTAAAATTCAGTATGCTTTTCAACTTGCATTTTTATCATCAAACAGCAGAAATCTGAATTTTGAATGAAACATGTATTTGACAGGAGTTGACTGTCTTCACTGCAATCCTTGATTTCAGTGATCTTGATAATAAAACTATTGCATAGAACTGTTGAAGGAAATACTTACAGGAGTTGATTTCTTCACTGCAATCCTTGATTTCAGTGATCACGATTATAAAACTATTGCACAGAACTTGTGCGAATTGGTAAATTTTGTAATTTTGCAAAGATTAACTTGCTTCACAGGCTAAAAAGACTTTGCCAACTGCGGCACACACCACACAACAGCACTGAGTAATGGTTGAAAGGCTGGTCCATATAACACACAAAAGTGACAGCAAAACGAAACACAGAATGTCAATTAGTAGTGGTTAATTGTCAATAGTAAACCTAAATTTCACACATTTTTTTGAGTTGAGGGGTCTTCTCAGAATTGCACTACTTTTAAAAACATAATCACTGATCCTCGTCGTGCACCAATCCTGCAAACCCTGCTTAAAGTTTAAAATTCTCTATTAAACGAATATTTGCTTTGTACTCATTTTCACGAGGTGTGAATTGATGAAAGGCCAACTAGCCAAAAAGCAATTTCAATACTGTGGTACGTTGCTATAATGAACACTGCTATACCGAACATTCGGCTATACCAAACATCAGACTTGGGTCCGGATTTTTGTATACAAAAGGTACCCACATAGTTGATAAAAACTGTCAACAGAAGAGGGGATAGAGGGGATATCCACCCATTGCTGTAATAAGCTCAAAAACTGTAAAATACATATTATTAAATAGTCGGCACGTGTTCAAAGTCGTCTTTCAGTAACTACCAGGGCGTGCAGGGTGAAGTTCTGAAGGGTGCTAGTGAGTACCGGAGCACCTGCAGCTTAAGATCGCTACACCGAATGATCGCTATAACTGCGACGTTCGTTTTTGCATATGTAACAAGCACCATGCTTGTATCATCAAATGGCTTGAAAGACACATTTTACACAGTTAGGCCCTTTTCAGGACTAGTTTTCTGCTCAGTCTTTTCATTACATAGTTCTCTGAAACGCTTTGCATAATGTTCAGGTTTCACAGTCGAGAAGGTTTCCGTCGGGTACCTGAGGCACTTGTACAGGTACTCCATCTTTTTCTTTATGCCGTACTGAGTCAGGACGTCGATGATGCCGACGAAATATCGATCCTCGTCGCCGTCGATGATATGCAGGGGGTTCGCCGTGTCGGGGAGTAATCTTTGGTTGCGCTCGTTGCACTTGTCAAGTTGGAATCGGCTGGTGCATTGACAGTAGTTTGTGCTTAAGTTCTGCAGGGCTTTAGGGTCCAAATTTAAAGAGTGTTGAAGCTGGGAAGTACGGGTGCCCTGTACGTCAAGCTCTGGTTGGTTCCTATTATCTTCTACCATACCTGGGAGAGAGTTTCTTTCATTTTCGCCCCCAGTTGTTGTGACCCCTTCCATTTCCTTGCCATGTGTCTGCTCAGTTGTATCGTTCCCGATTTCATCTCCTGCAGAACCTAAGTGACGTGTTCCTGTCCTAACTTCTCCGCTTGCTGTGCGATGGTGACCAGCGCTGCCGCTCGCATGTTGTTGACTGTCACTGCTCACATTGATATCGAGTATTTCTTGAACCATTCGCTCAGTGTTGTCGCCCGTCTTGTCGGTTTCTTGGGCCTGAGGCAGTTTGGTGGGCTGGCTGGCAGGCTGTTGGTTCTGGATGTTGGATCGCCTGTTCCATGTGGGGAATCTGCCACCACAGTCAGGGCACACTCTACTGGGACTGTCGGACACGGATTTTATTGACCTGTAAAGTTGCCAAAAAAAGTAAAACGTTTGGCAACTTGTTAACATTGTAAAGCAAAGACCAAGCATCCCATGGCATATCTAAATGTAGATGCCTGAAATATCATATTTCACCTTTTTTTAATATAGCTGTGCAAGATCTACTAATGATTAGACCCAGTAACTGGGGCGCTAAAACTTAAAAAAAGAAATATTTGTCTGTGGTCGGTCGTACAAGCTTGTAAAACCGACCAGAGACAAAATTTGTAAAAAGGAGTTCTAGCGCATCAGTTACTGGAACTAAATGATGATGACACCATGCGAAACAGGGCTATAGCTATGAGTGCACTCCTGTTTGTTGGCCTTGTTAACCCTTGTTAACATACTATTGACCTATCGCTGTTTGCGAGTTAGCCACGCCCCTTAGACATACCTATGGAATTTATGTCACTACGTTTTGTTTGTCTCAGATTTTGCGCGTTCCGCGTCCATTTGAATATCATGTAATTGAATAATGTTTCACAACTTGCGTTGACGCGATTCCAACACTATTCTACCACGACAGGTCAATTGCTGCTAGTTGTGAGAAACATTTCAAAAGGCAACAGATTTACTTTTAATGCATCGCAGAAGTGTCTTACAAAACCTGACATATTCTAACACACTGCAAAATAAAATTGACATTGTAAAAGAAATGAGTGTTTTGAATTCTCCATTGTGATGTCCTTCATGGGCTACCATAACACTCTAGACGGCTACAGTAATAGACTTTTTCTTTAAAATACAGTTGAGAAACCAGTCATGTCTCGGATTTCAGTGGTCATGTTGAACTTTCTAAATTACCTCCTTGCTCTGGACACCACGTCGGCCAGCTTATCCGATGTCTTCTTTTCGTCGGCGTGGAGTTTCTGAATGCCAAGCAGCAGGCTGTAGTCCATGATGCCTTGCTCTTCTAGGAACCTGCTGTCGATGTCAACTTGCCTCCGGAACCAGGATGCCTGGGCTCCTTTGAAGAAGGCATGAGGAGGAAGACAGATAAAGTATGATTCTCTACTCCTACAAGACAACGTTGTTTTGTGATAAATCACATGAGCTATTGAAAATTATACAATGGTGTATACAATTGCAATGGGCACTATCAAAATATAGATTGCCTTATAAATTTCTGTGAGGCCTCCTTAAAAGTATAAAAAAGCAAATTAAATTTTGCAAAAACCATCGGTTAAATGTTATAACTAGGCACACATTTATGAAAACAATTGATGTAATTTTTTTATCCGTAAAAAAAGAAAATCAAAGTTACTAAACAATCAAAGTTACTAAATTTAGCTTTAAAGACAATTGGTGAAACTTTCACTATGACCATGTTCTCCCTTATACATTTTCGCATGTGACTTATAACTTTTCAAATTTAATAATTGGCGAACTCAAAAAATAGCGGGTTCCAAAAAATAACTTTTCCCCCTGAATCCTGGAACCACAGTTAAGGGGTCTTTTGTTTATTCAAAGGCCTGTCACAAATACGGTTTGTAGATTTACTATTCTCATTATCAATAATGCATTTATTCCCTACCTATGTTGATCTTTCTTCCATCAAAGTTATTGTCCTTGAGAACAATGACTTCTTTGCTTCCTTCTTCTAAGGGTCGAACATAGCGACTGGCTGAGCAACCCTTCAAGTCATACCTGATTTAGAACAAGACATTTCATTGGCTGAAGGCAATCCTTCGAGTCATTTAAACATGAAACAAGACAGGTGATTGGCTGAACGACTCGCGTATTCTTTTCAGACTGGCTGAGCAACCCTTCAAATCATACCTAATATGAAAGAAGACATGTCATTGGCTGAAGGCAACCCTTCGAGTCATTTAAATTTGAAACAAGACAGGTGATTGGCTGAACGACTCACGTACTCTACTCACAAATCATACCTAATATGAAAGAAGACATGTCATTGGCTGAAAAGAGACCCTTTGAGTCATTTTGATATGAAACAAAATTAAGACATGTGATTGGACAACTCACATATTTTACTGAGACTCATAAAGTAAAACTGCATTATAACCATCTATTTTCAAACCTTGAATGGTAAATATAAAAGAATTAAATCAGAAGACATAACCACATTAAGTTATTTAAGCTCATGGTTTACATACTGAGGAATGGAAAATTTCACATTTTGTGCTGGGGTAAATATCTCTATATCTTCATTGACATTTCATTTTCTCTTTTTTTCCCGCATAAGCAAGAAACTGTAAGATAGATATTTTTCAAAAAGAAAAGATGGAGGTATAACGTTGACGCACACTGATCAATACGTTACCTTTCTGTTATCCGTTCATCAGGGTAGAAAACACTCTGCATTACTGTAAAATAAAGCTGAAAAAGTAAAAAATAAAAATAAAAAAAAATATGGAAGTATTCTAAGATACCACTGTGACTAAAAGAATGACAATAATTATTTTTGTCACAGTGAAGAGAAGAGAGCTCATGAGTCCAATAGTGGCAATTTATGTATCATTTACTTTTTTTTAATTTGCTCCTACCTTTAGCATTATAAATATGGGTTTTTCTTTTTTTGGTATTGTTTTACATAAACATGAACTGGCTGTATATTCAATTTATAAGATGAGGTTAATGAATATAGCGTGTATTACAAAAAAAATGGCATCAAATTTGAAATGGCAACCATTATTTTGACACAGCTGCAACTCAACAATTTAGTCTTACACTGGACTTAAAATTTGTAACAAAATATGGAAGAAACAGGACACATAGTTGAGATGATGTCATAATAATAATCATTAATCGGCATTTGTATAGCACTTTTACATGGAGCTAAGGTATCAAAGCGCTATAGAATTATTATTTTGCCTGTTTCAATGGGCAAACACTAGTGAAACCGTCTCAGCTCCCTGGGGAGTATATACAGCTTGATGCTGCCTGTTAGGCGCAAGGAAGCTAAATCAACCATGCACAATAACCATCTCTGCCCTCACAGGTACCCATTTACTCCTGGGTGGAGAGAAGCAATGAGTGACAAAGCGCCTTGCCCAAGGGCACACGCACCATGACCCCAGGCTGGACTTGAACCCACAACCTGCAGAATTACCTGCAGACCACGAATCCAATGCCCTTAGCCACGAGGCCACAGCACTCCACATGTTGAATTCTAGGATGAAATTAAAACGACTGATTCACACAAGACTTTGTTTGAAATATACCGTGACTTACCCCTTTACTGCCACTCATCTTGATGTAGTAACAGCCCATGATCTTGACCAGCAGTGAATGAGGGAAGTCATGAAAATGCCCGACAAGGCGACGCAGGAATTGACTCCTCAAGAAAGCGATGTCCTGCGACTTCTCTGTCTTCATTATGAAGGCTTTGTTGTTGCTAAACACAAAGAGAAATTATTTCAATCTCTGACTTCTACAATGTTTTGACAACAGACTTAATCATCTCGATTAGATATAGTGAATACTTTGTGTTAGGGGAACCTATGTTGGCTTAAAATGATGCCTGGTACAAACGACAATATCGGACAGACATTAATAATTGTTCTTGTTTTAATTCCATCTAAATAAGGCAATTAAGTCCAAAGTCCGAGATAAAACCATGTGCAAATGATTTTAAAGTAGCTTGTCTTCTCTACTGGGTAGTCCAAAGTCCGAGATAAAACCATGTGCAAATGATATTAAAGCAGCTTTTGAACTGATTTTCAGCTCATTAAACACTACAGTTGCTGAGCTATATACAGAAAAATGGCTGTAGTATGAAGCCCGATCGAGAAGGGTTGAAATTTATCTCGGTGGTTCTTTATTCGTGCGCACGATTTACGAATACTTTCGCATGATTTACTAATTCGTTCGCACGATTTACTAATTTGTTCGCAAGATTTACCAATTTGTGTGCACAATTTACTAATTTGTGCTGGTGCTCTGATTGGCCATAATGTGGGAACGATTTAGTTAAGCGTGGGAAAAAAACAGCAAATAGTGGGAAGGAATAAGTAAATCATGCGTATCATTTAGTAAATCATGCGCATGATTTAGTTTATAAACTGTACAGCACCAAACCGCCCTTCCCTGTGCGAGCGCTCAAAACCACCCTAGCACTTTGTTGTTTTATGGATTTATAAGTGAATAAACACAATGTAATACAATTTAGTACAGTGCTAATTAAAACCACTCAAATAAGAGTTAATTTGAGTGTGTTACGGTAAAATGAGTAAAACTAATTTATTTGGAACTTGAAAGTGCCTCATATTCGTATAAATCCTCCATCAAATTGCTTACCACAAGAAGAACATCATACCACTCTTTGAGGAGGTGATGAATTCCAGGCAGGGTACAGGCGAACCGGAGGGTGCTAGGGACTCCAGATATTCAGTGTCTGTTATCCCAACCAAGGCACGCAAGGAGGTGAAGACCTTGGGAGCGTAGCAGCAGAATTCAAATTGCTGACATGAAGTAAAGGACAAGATTAAGTCTAATTGCAGTATACGCACTGCTCTATCAGATTTGAATTCGATGGGCCATTCCACCAGCTGACCCTGGCAGACTAAGTGGTGTGCCGTGGTTAGGACATTAATCAGCACCGAACTAGAAGTAGGTGGTCATGGGTTCGAGTCCCTCCCGAGTAAGCTTCTTAATTATTTTTTTTCTCACATAACACTGATTATACAGTGCCAAGGGCGTAAATCCAGGGGAGGTGGGAGGGGAAGGGGAGAATATCTCCCCCACTTTCTGATGGGGGGGGGGGAGGGGGATGGATCATTGGATCATCCCCACCCCCGCCCCCACCCCCATGTGAGAAACCAAAAAACTCTGATTTTGAGGTTAAACAATTTTTCCAACAGTCTAAGCGCATTATCAAACAGAGAACATACAAAAGCTTTTTACTGCACCGTTTTGATGTAAGGTTAAGGGACTTAAGCACAACGTTGCAAAGATGTAGATTGTACATCCTAAACCCCCCCCCCCCTCCTTGCTCTCTTTGGGTTTTTTGGAAGGATTTATTTTAGGATTATTGGTCATCTCCCATCCCCCACTCGCCGACGATGATTTACGTCGCTGTACAGTGCTCATATGTTGGTGAGAAGCAAAAACTGAATCAAAATCGCGTAAATTTTTCCCTGTAAACCGGCTCAACCTCAGAGGGGAACTGACAAAAAGTAATGTCATTTACCTTTTTAATATCTTTCTCAAAGTGCTTTTGTGTTGTGACTTCAAGATAGTCCTCCTCCTGGTGTGTCACACTTTCTACCTGGGTGAACATAGATGTCAAACAATTACTTGAAAAGATCACTTTCAATTGCAATCAAATAAGCCTTCTGGCACAATAAATCCAGTCTTCTTTAGCAGGAAATAAATACATTCTAAAACCCAGTAGAACACATGATAAAGAAATTAATTGTACCAAAAATATAAAAATACAGAACAAATAAAAGTTCCTTTCAGGGGAAATTAGGAACACTATTTGAACTTAAATTGAAAAAAAAGAAGAAACTCTTTATTCAGAAAGTTATTAACATTTTAGAAAATCTTGGACATTTTCTCACCAGACTAACTTTTGTTTAACTACTATAACATGTCCCAAGAGGTTATTTGCCAGAAGTGGAGTTTTGATGAGGGTTGGGGGATGTGACCAGAGGGGTGGGGATTCAGATGGGGGGGGGGGGGGCAGTGTTGAGGTAGGCTGGTGTACTGCTACTCCCCACACCCGAATTGTGCCTATCCCCCTCTTTCCAACTACCCCATGGCCATAATTGTGGTCCAAGTATACCCCAAGGCCAATAAGCCAGCATGGTGTGAGGGGTGGTCTTTTTCATTGAAAACTGGACCCTTTTATTAACATTCAAAAATGTACGATACCACAACTCATGCGGACAAAGCATCAACAATAAACCAGTTAAAGTACTTTAAAAGTTTTATAATTGGATTTAGTTATGATTTAAATGGACATCTAAAAAATTAACCGTCTAATTTGGAAGGGTTGTTTAATTGACCACACCCCCACGTCCACTGGCTTTGGCCCTGTACTCCCCTCCCAGGACTGCACCTCTTCGTCCACCTTCGATCCTCCATCATATCTCACCTCAGAGGTAGGGTGTGGCTCAATGCAACCCCTCATCCCCATCTGAATGCATCGGGAGACATTGTACAACCGGTGCTGCTGGTCTATCTCAATGATGCCTCGGTGACTCCACTGCTGCTTGGCCTTCCGAACCAGTGTTGCGAAACTGGCTGCCTCCTTCTGGACACGCCCATCCGGTGGGGATGATGAAGACGGCAAAGTTGGACCCTCCGTCATATTTTTGATTACAGTCAACAAAAAAGACTGGCGTTCTGTTTAAAATAAACAATCTAGTTGATTGCAGCATCTACATACAGCCTCACAGAGAAAGATAAACAAGTGAACAAATTGGCTGTAAAGTACTAGCTCTTGTCCAGAAATGCAACAAATTAATCCACTCACATGTAATCCCATGACCATAATGTTTCCCGCAATCTTAACTAATTATATAATTAATATATAATAATTAATATATAAGCCAAGTTACAGGGGCGGATCCAGGAATTTTTGCAGGGAGGGGGGGGGGGGGGGTTCATCAGCAAATCAATGCTGAAATGTAGACAGTTTTTTTTCTCCGGACACTTGGCCTCTGTAAAATCAATAGGGGGGGGGGGGGGGGGGGGGGAAGGAGCGCTGTTTAAGTCCAACGATCATGAACACTACAGTACAGAATAGTGTACAAATAGACCTGCACCCCAGCTGGCTTATAGTTCTAATGTTGTGCACAGTTGGAGATTATTACTGGTATAATTGTCACAATTTTTTCTGGGGTGTCACAGCTGGGGGGGGGGGGGGGGTTCACACTATTTAAAAATATATTTCAATGGAAAAAAAATAGAGTCTGAGCTTTTTTTTCTTTTTTTCTGACCCCCCAATCCCCTTTCTGGATCCAGCACTTCAGGCGCGGATCCAGAGGGGGAGTAAACCCCCCCCCCAGCTCTGTCAAAAAAAAAAAAATCATACAAATTCTTAAAAAATAAGTCAAAACGCCTCCCCCCCCCCACTTCCCCTGTGACACCCCCCAAAAAATTATACTCAGGCTGGTATAATGTCCGCCTGTTCAAAATACGGTACACCATTCTGTTGCTGATGAAACCCCCCCCCCCCCCTGCGAAAATTCATGGATCCGCCCCTGCACTTGGTACGTTTCCTGATGGATGCCTTACCAACTCCAATTTAGTTGTTAATTTAGATGATTACTGGTGACCTTACAAACGTTATTATTTTCCAAAGGAGTAAGGCAAAACAGGTTAGTCCAGGGTCCTTATTTCTTTGACAATAATCACCTTCTTGAATTTTTGTTGGGAAAGTTTCATAACATTTCTTAAATATGTGTTAGACAGAGGGTTATCGTTTTCATGATATTTTTGTTTGTTGGGCAAGGTAAATATTCACTCTTTAATTCCCCCCCCCCAGTTAACTTGGAATTTTAAACTGAACTGTTAATTTTAACGGAATAAGCTTAATTTATAAGCTTGTTGCATATTCTAAAAGTTAAATGTCTGCACATCAGTTGCCCCTGACATTTTTTAAACAACATTTTCAGTATCATGAAAACAAAATAACTACAATGTAATAAAAGTTTGCAAGAGAAAGAATCCTGGAAAGAGTGTAGTAGGACGCCACTTCTTTGGTTGTGTACAAAGTCTATGGAGAGTCCAGTGCATTTGCAAAGTTTTTTTCTAAAAATTGTGGAAATGTTTCTCCCAGTACGAGTCCGCAGTCCAGATTCATGTCTTTTCAACATTTTTGCAAGGACAGACCTTCATTGACATAATGATGAAAAAAGTGGTATCAGGATTAGCTGGAGTTACCCAGCCCTAAATTGTATCATTGGGTTGTCATTTAACCCAATGATAAAATTTAGGGCTGGGTAACTCCAGCTACATCAGGATGCAACATTCTTTCCAAAATACTTAATTTTGTATCAATTAAACTTGGCATTTCACAATCAAAGCATACCATATCAAGCAATGAGAAGACATTCCAATCCGCAGTGTTGAGCGTTTCCAACAATGGGAGCCATGTATTGTGTACACCAGTGCCAGGGTAACTCATCCTGCACGTTCAATCACCAGGAATGTCTGTACATTGTAGTACATTGGTAGTGCATGTACAGAAAGGGACAGGTGAGTTACACCTGCCAAGGCGCAATAGCGGTGCTGGACTGTTCCACTTTACAAAAGGTAACTCTAAACTCCATGAAGTGATTTTCATATGAGGGGTAATTTAAGAGCTCAATTCAATGTATTTAAACGTAGGGAAAGTAACATTGCCTTTGAGTGTTTTTTTTATTAGTTGTCGTTAATTTCAATCTGGTGTTATTCAGTCATTAGTTAATCTAAAGTTTGAGAAAAATGATCATTCATCAAATTAGTAGAACTCATATTGACTGGACACTTGTTGTAGTACATCAACAGATTTTAAATTTAGTGAAGTTGGAAATATAATACTTGAGTAGACATGGAGCATGCTCTAACAACCATCAAATTCGCTTTAATATGTGATGTTATACCACGCGTTGTGTAACATATGATGCAGTACAGCACTAGTTGTGCCATCGGAATGAAGTCTTTGAGGCACGAACAAGTGGAAAATACTTGTTTCAACCATGGAGGAATAAGAACACACTGTCACCTACTGTTATACACAATATCTTTACTAACAACCCTGTTTAGGCAAACAATTATGATTTATAAAATCTACTTTTTTTTAAAAGACGGGCCTTCAAAAGGACGTTGATGAATATTTTTAACGTTTAAACTGAGATATTATCACTGATGATGTTTGAAGGCAATTGTAACGACGATTCTTGAAATCACATTTTTTGGACGAGACAGGTTTTAGGGTCATTGTGTTTAAATGGTGATATTCTTTGAACGGATAGACCAATTTCAGTATTTTTTTTCATCTAAAAGTAGTTTCTGAAATTGGCTTTCCAGTCATTATTATTTGTGGTGCTACATATTTTTTAAAATATGAAATATAACTTTTGGGGTGTGGGTTCCGCTTTTTTTGACTCACCCTGTATTTTCATTAACTGATTCAGAAAATAAAAGGAAACTTGGATGCGGCTCTTTGTTTTTGAGGAATAATGACATGCACACTGCCCCAACCAACAACCACATCCCTAGACAAAAATGTCCAAGTCTGCATTCAAGTGTGTTCATGTCTTCTGGATCTGTCTTCATGAGACAAGGACTCTGCTGCTAGTACACGCAATGAAATTAAGATATAATCACACAAGAGCTATCAATGTAATTATCTTGCCAGGAAATTCCTAAATGCAGAATCTAATTCAATCCAGTCTTCCCATACATACATGGTTAATTACATTGTACACAATTAGATGGCGTATGACGCACGCTTAAACAAATATTTGTGCATCAATGGCTCATGGCCTAACAGCATGGCAAGTTGAGGAATGAGGAAAATTAGCAAATAGAAAAAAAACAGTCTTCTTTTGGTTTGAATGATAAACTAACAAACACACACGTCAAACTTTTTTTTTCACAAGGGCAAGAATCAATTTATTGTAACCATACCGTACAGTACTTTCTGCATTTTTGCTTGACTAACATGGATCTCGTTTTTATATAGAACTGATTTTACAATTTCTTCACACTTTCTGTTCTGAAAACCATAATGTATAGTTCTGAAGAAAAAAAAACCCAGAGAAATTCTTTTTTAATCAGTAAATAAGTTATTTTTATGTCTTTATTCATTTCTATAAAACAATGCATAAATATATACTTTTATTACTTGAAGACTTGAAACATGTCTGAACAACACACAAGCTTTTTTAAGGGCAGAATGCAATAAGATTTTTACCGTCCCGCCTGCACTTCTGTGCAACCAGAACAAACAGTTTTGTTGGTCTTTTTCCTTCAGTTTGTTTCCAAGCCTAATTCCTTGCCCTTTTTTATTATTTCATAAAGTTTGAACCCAGAGAATTATACAAAATATAAAACAGATTTACATTCATTTGTACAAAATAAGACGAGTAGAGCTGTTTGTTCATCATTTGCTTTTCTTCTTCTTCGCTAGCGTGACTGCCGTTACAAAGACACCTGCCAGTAAAGAGACACCAACAATATTAATGACACAGTAATAGCCCCTTCTGTCATTTGAATGTGGCCAGCCTCTTGATTCTGCAAGAGGCTGGCCTATAGGGGTCCTACTAAAGCGCGTCAACAAGCGTCAACAAGCGTCAACAAGCCTCAACGGTCGTCAACGAACGTCAACAAATTTTGTATAGGCTTTTGAACATTAAAAACAGCTTTATATGGTAGAAAAAGCAATAAAGAACATCTTCTGCATATCATGCGTAGTATGGCTCTGTACACTTCACGCATGCGTAGTACGGCTAGCTACACATAAACAAGATGGCGGCCAACTGTTGAATTTAAAAAGGTCATTGAAGGGATGGAGGGGTCCTGCATTGGGTATTTTGTAAACTTTCAACAAAACCCACTGCTCATACAAAGAAGCAATTGATGGTAGGTTTGTGCAGATGATGCGCTGGGCAATCTTCCTTGGTCTTTAGCTCATGCTGCCCTGGAACTTTGGAACAATCTCCCACGCCAAATGAAATCCCTATCTACATTCAAATCTAACCTCAAAACCCATCTGTTTCTACGTCGTTTTTGTAATTAATGTTTTTCTTTGTATGTATGCGCCATGAGCGTCATGCCTGGCGGATACTGGCGCTTGTTCATTATTATTGGCTTTTCCGCATTGTTGCGGAAAAGCCTTTCTTTTTGTTCTGATTTTTTTTCTTTCTTCTTCTTCTTCTTCTTCTTCTTCCTCTTCTTCTTTTTTTCCCAAAACCCCATAGACTTTGTACACGTTTATTCTACACGCCACTTTTGCCCTTTAACTTTGTTGCATATCGTTCAAACTTTGCATAGGCATAGTCCATACAGCATAGATGTGTGCGGACGAGCGACGTCATGATGACGTCATCATGGGTCAAGTGACGTCATCATTAATATGCATATTACAAAGTCCTATATCTACAGAACTGTCAGTCCGATTGAGTTGAAGCTCGGTATGTAGGTAGATCGGGATGTGTTATAGACAAAAATTGAGGTTACGTCATCATGACGTCATCGTGTGATTTTATATAGATTTTTGAATTTTTGGACCTTTAAGCCATATCTCACTAACGCAATATGATAAATTAAAAATTCTTTTTGTATTAGGTTCGCTGGGCAATAGATAAATGCACAAAATTTGGTAAAATGTGTGACGTCATAATGACGTCATCAAAAATGCGATTTTTTGCAACACATATAAAGGAATGTCTGATTGTCTTGAAACTTGGTGGGTGGGTAGATAATAACACTAGTACACAAAATCTTCAATGACGTCACGATGACGTCATTGGTCGATTTTTAAAGATTTTTTTAATAGTGCCAATTTTATTCTGCTTACAAATTTAACACTTTTATTAATCTGATTTTTTCCAAACTTGGTACAGACTAAAACCACAATAAAATAATGAGCACTGCAAAGTATTGTTACGATGACGTCATCATTAGACACGTGACGTCATTGTTAACTTGTATATTTTAAGCCCCTATATCTCATGAACAGTTCATCCGATTGGGTTGAAACTTGGTATGGGGGTAGGCCGGGATGTGTTACAAATAAATATTGAGATGACGTCATCATGATGTCTTCGTGTGATTTTATATAGATTTCTGAAGTTTTGGACCTTTAAGCCATATATCACGAACCCAATATGTTACATTTAAAATTCTTTTTGCATTAGGTTTGTTAGGCAATAGGTATTTGTACAAAATTTTGAAAAATGTGTGACGTCATGATGACGTCATCAAACATGCGCTTTTTTGAAACACATATAAGATAATGTCCGATCGTCATGAAACTTGGTGGGTGGGTAGATAATAACACTAGTACACAATATCTTAAATGGCGTCACGAAGACGTCATCAGTAGATTTTTTTACGATTTTTTTTAATATTGCCAATTTATTCTGCTTACAAAATTAAACACTTTTATTAATCCGATTGTTTTCAAACTTTGTACAGACTAAAACCGCAATAAAATAATGAGCACTGCCGAATATTGTTTACAATGACGTATTCATTAGACATGTGACGTCATCGTTTGTATATTTTAAGCCCCTATATCTCATCAACAGTGATTTAGATTGGGTTGAAACTTGGTATGGGGGCAGGCCAGGATGTGTTTTAAATAAATATTGAACTGACGTCATAATGACGGCATCTTGTGATTATATATATATTTCATATATGACAAATGTAATATGCCAAAATCAAATTTCCATTTGAATGAGGTTTTTTAGACAAAACGTAAGTGCACACAGTTTTGCACAAAACAGCAAAACATGACCTCAATTTGAAAAAAAAACATAATGCGGAAAAGCCCTATGTTCTGTTGCAAACAGACATAGACCTCTAGTTATTATTATTACTACTAGTATTTTGTAGCTTTAGATGAGGTTAGGGTTAAAATAGACATATGCATCACTCACCAATGAATGTAAGGAAGATCAAGCCAGCCACGACGGGCAGTGCGATTGCGTAGAATCGGGGTAGAAAGAACTGCTGTAGAACGTGGTCGTCATCAACAAATGGCTGCTCCAAACGAAAACACAAACATGGAATCAAAAGAATAGCAAGTGTGTCAAGAGTCCAGCCTTTCAGGTAGTCTATCTATAATTTGTGAACAGATTCACTAATTAATTAGGCAAGACAAACACATCTTGACCTCTAGATTTTGACCAATCAGCGGGGGCTTTCTATGTCGGGTCTTCGGTCATTTACCCGTTGTCACATCTAGACATGGATTAAAAAAAAACAACACAAGACACAGCAACAAAGGTGAATGTAAGGAAGATCAAGCCAGCCACGACGGGCAGTGCGATTGCGTAGAATCGGGGTAGAAAGAACTGCTGTAGAACGTGGTCGTCATCAACAAATGGCTGCTCCAAACGAAAACACAAACATGGAATCAAAAGAATAGCAAGTGTGTCAAGAGTCCAGCCTTTCAGGTAGTCTATCTATAATTTGTGAACAGATTCACTAATTAATTAGGCAAGACAAACACATCTTGACCTCTAGATTTTGACCAATCAGCGGGGGCTTTCTATGTCGGGT